TCTTACATTCAACTTGCACTTCATTCCACTCCGCTCGATGAGCCAAACCAACAACCCATTCTTTAAGACTTCAATATTTTGGAAGCTCTGTTGTGTGTATGACCACATAGTTGTTCACACCCTCATTCGGTACTGCTCGACCACTTCGAACGAGTTTTGGGACGCTCTCCGAGACATCCTTGATGCCTCTGGGATATTATATTCTGTCCTTGCCGATGAGCTCCGCGAGGAGGTGATGAACACCAGTTTGTTACTTGTCATGTCCATCACAAAGTATTAAAACATTAGAAGAGCCTCACACACTCTTTCGAGTCAACTCGGGTCCAACGTCACTCCTGTCTTCAGTTTTTAGAAAGGAAATGGCTTCTCTAATGGAGAGACATGTCAACCCGATCATTCACTCGTGTAACACAGACGACATCCAATTGGATTCTCCAGACGAACATGTGAGAACAAAGTCTATAGACACAGTGACGAAATATATTAACATCCACATCACTCGATTCCAACAGATGGCGTCTGAGATCCCGGAAAACCTCCGATCGATATTTGGAATCGTTCGTGACACCGTCGACGAGATCTTCCCCGACTCCGGCGTGTCGACACAGATCCTCTCTGCGTTATTCTTTCATAAAATTATTACTCCTGCTATTATCACTCCAACAAAGTTCTGTTCTTCAATTTCTACACCAACAGACAAGGGAAGACAAACACTCATGCTTTTGTCTAAAATATACCAAACCTTCGTCAATCAAAGCGACGAGCCATTTCCAAAGGAAATTAACTTACACGTGTTCAACGATGCTATTGTCTCGGAATATAAAAGAGTACATGATATGCTCGACTTGTTGAGTTCGTCGACTACGCTTCCAGAATATCACTTCAATAAGGTCGTTTCAAGTCAACTTCTGTTGAGAAGAGTACCTCCTATCATCACTTCATTGGAATCATTGAAGCCTGCAGCAGTCTCTGCAATCATTCAGCCGTTCATAGACACCGGATTTAAAAACCTTGCAGAGAACTTACTTGCACTGACAAACATCAACATCTATCAAAAGGACTTGGCCAAATTGGATTTGAAAAAGCCAAAAGATGTTGGGATTTTTTATGATGAAAGTGAAGAACTGTGTTATACTGCGGTGATTAGAGGATACGAAGATACCGTTAATATGTACCAAAAAAAGATCAATAAACTGACAGAGGAGATATTCAAGCTCAACCAAGTCATTGAAAGACTTGACGCTCCTATTGAGCCAAAGTCGCTTGTTAATATGAACACCTCGCCCTCGTTGACTCCACGAAAAGAAGAAAAAGAGAGTACCAAGACCGTGAATATTCAAGAGTTCTATATATCTGAGAAGATCCCTGATGAGATCAGATGTCGATTAATAACTTTGACAAGTAAAGAGAACCAAATCTACGACTTTATTACTAAGAGTGAAAGTACAACTGTTCTTGGGAAGTGCGAGAAGTTCCTTGGCGTTTACCAGAAAGCTTCGAAATGCAAAATAGAAGATGACGCACCAAAGATCTCTCAAAAAGATAAGGATAAAGAGATTAAAGATAAGGACAAAAAGGACAAGGAGAAAGCCGTTGCCAAAAATAAAAAGACGTGTCTTGGGATATTGAAGGAAGCACACGACAACAGAGAAGCGTTAATGAGTCATCTTGAAGATACTAAACTCACTCAGAGAATCGTTGCACTCACTGGTATTTTGGACGACATTATCTTCATCTTTAACTGACTTATTTAAGTGCTCTTGAGTGTCTGTTATGTGATGACACCAAATACTATTGTTAATAGTTTTTTTATTTATTCTAATAGAATTGCAAATAACAAATCAATTTTTATCATTTTAATAGTATTTTTAATTATAAAAATAATAAAATAGCACTAATTAAATTTTTATTTAATTAGAACAAGAAAAAGTAAAGAACAATGAGTTCAAATGGAATGAGCGATCTCAACGCTTCAATAGCAAGCGCTCTTTCGGCGATTAGTGCAAACAATGCTGCAACATCTGCAACTTCAAGCTCTTTATCTTCAGGGCTACTCGGATCCATTTCTAACAACCTCTTTTCTGGCTCTTCTAGTATCGGAGGAGGGATAGGAGCACCTTCAACTTCAACAACTCAACCAAAAGAAAGTGTCCATGGAAAAGACCCGATTGGGTCATTTTCAAGTGCGGATTTGAATTTAATCAGCTCGTTTTTGAAACAGAAAGCGTCTGAAAATCACTACAAGACTAAAATTGATTTGTCGATGACGAGCGAAGTTCGAAAGCAGTTCAACGACCTTGTAAATGTTTGTTTCAAGACGATTTATCACTGTTGTATTATAAAGAGTATATCCAAAGAACAGGGTACTTAATAATAGGGTGCAAGATGCCTCGAGGCGGAGTGTAGAAACACTATGAAATTACTTAACAACTTATTGGATAAATCAGTGACGACTTCACAATTGTTACAAAGACAAGTAGGGTCTCAGTGCGTATACGCAGACCCTTTCCTCGCTTTTAAATATCAAGACTACAAACAACAAGTTGACGGACTCATTAATCAGATCGAAGCTACATATCAAAGCTGCGCACAAACAGAGTCCGATAACAACTACGACCGTTTGTTAATATAGTTCATGTTCTAATAAAAATACTATAAATTTGTTCGAAGTAAACTTACCACACAGATATCAAGAATGTGTTTGAGACAAATGCATCGGCTTTGAACTACTTAAACAAGGCTGTACATGCGATCAGAGCAGAGATTAATTCTTCAATGACTAGTGTAAGCAGAGCAATGGAGACTGATTGATTTGTTACGTTTATAGTTAATTGAATTATACAATTTTAATATAGATGTATATATTATATCAATATAATTTATAAATTATATCTCTCAAATATAAATTATCATATTTGAGAGATTTTTGTGTTGAGAAAGGCAAAGAATAGGAATTGACTAAACTAATGAAAGATACAAAAAGCAGTTGACGATTGTAGTTTACTAAAAAAATGAGTTGTTGTCAAATAGATCTCCTTCATCTTTTGTTTATTGTCAGTAAAAGGAAATGAACTATATTTGTTTTTCATTATTTTTATTATTGAATTGTTGGATTAAATTAAAAATGAAATAAAATGAATAATTTTTAGATTTAAATAATTAATTTTGTTTTTATAATCAAAAATTGGTACGAATAAAGAATTAACAAAGTTAATTGAAAAAGTGTAAAAATAGATTATTTTATTAATAAGAATAATCCCGAATTTTTCAATCAAAAAAACACCAAAATCCAATATTTGTATCAATAAACGAAAGTACCCGGAATTCAGTATCGAATTGGCTAAAAAAAATTCTAACAATTGATTTCGTTTTTAAAAAAGAATCAATTTTTAGCATAACAAAATAATTCAATCATTTAAACAAAACTGAGAATGGTCATGTAAAGATGAATCATTTGCGAAACTCATTCACATCCGAATTCTCTCAACAACTTTCTCCAAGAATTGTCGTTCACCAAATTATCCCTTCGTGGTCTGAACCAGAATTATTTAGTCTCTATCGATCTGAGGTGTTGACTACTTCTCAAGACACATACTCTGAACACAGTAGAGTATACATCGAAAGATCACTTGCTCCACCACTTATTGATTAGATTCTATTTGATTTACTATATATCTGTTCTAATTTATTTTAATTACATTTTATTATTGTTTGATAGTATTTACATATATTTTTTTTAATTTTTAATAGTTATTAAAGTTATACAAATTGCTATGATATTTTCATTTAATTATAATTAAGTTATTTTGATATGTTATTATATCATGACTAATTTGTTTACAATAAAAATATTATAATTTTTAAACAAAATTAATTTTATTATTATTAAAAATAAAAAAAATAATGAGGAATTACTCATAACAAAATAATGACAATATAATATTAAACTATTATAATAAAAACAATTAACAACTTTTTCAACCAAAATAAAAAATCACAAAAAAAATAAGACAAAATATTAACAATTAATAGATTAATTATTATCAAACATAACACATCAAAGAAAAAGATACTAAACAATAAAAAAAGCCGAGTCAATCCCATAAATATACCAATTTAAATCAATTAAAAAATATATTATAAAAAAACTATACCAAATGACCAATGAAAAGAGACGAACTAGAAAACATCGATTGACAGAATCAATAGTCATGGGTGCATTTGACGACAAACAAACACTCTTAAGCTCTCTAAACCGAATTGGGCTTGTGATAACAGCAATTGTGTTTGCGTTTTTAGCGATTGCTTTGACCGTTATCTCAACTGCATTTACTTCAACACTGACAACCACCAGCACAAATTATTGGCAATGTCTGAACCAAACCTCTTTTAACCGTTCTGTATGCACACAAGGGGTCGATCCATTCCCATCGGGGCCTGAACAAGCGTTCATTCCTTCTAAAGTAGTTATAGGAAGACTCGCTCGACTGAATTATAAAATGTTTATATCATTAAGTGCATCGATTCCTACCCCTTTAACTGAAGCAAAACATTTTACTGTTCCAATCCATTACGCTTTACTTGGCTTCGAAACTATTGGTGCTGCTAACACCACAGAAATTCCGGAATTGACTTCTTCCGTCAACGTGAAGTTTGACTGCGACAAAGGCGCGTGCACAACGGACTTACAACTTCCACAAACTATTGAGTACAATTTCTACACTTTCACAATCCTCCCAGAAAGCTTCCCAAAAGGTCTTATCATCGACCCAACACTCATCGTGCAAACTTCAAACAAAATCTTCACCTTGTGCGAACTCTTTTGGAGAACAAGTTTCATCGTCATCGGCTCGATTCAACTCTGTGTGTTCTTGATATGTATGAGAAAGGAAAGATACCAAGATTGGCTCTTTGAGCAGACGTGTACTGGCTTCCTCTTATATTTCTTAATACTCTTTAACAACCCGATGGTGTATTTGGAATACCAATTCAGAAATTGGTTCTTCTCCTTGATCTCCTCGGTGATGGAAAGTTTTGCGATTGGCTATTTGCTCTTCTACTTTTTAGTCGTGTTCGACTCGTTGCGGAAAAACATGAAGGCGATGAATATGAAATCGCTCTGGTTAGGATTTTTGGTGCCACGCATCGTCTTTTGTTCAATTGTTGCGGTTGCGGTGGGGTGCTTTGTGTTCACCCAAAAGGTGTACGACATCAAGAATTTGATTGCCGGGACTAAAAATGGCGTTTTAATCACTCTTGGCGTTCTAGTCATCTTGATTGTGATGACATACACCTTCTGGCTCTTCTTCTCATTCATCCGAACGTTCACTGAGAGAAAGAAATTGGGAGAAAAAGGACGGAGAGTTATTGGATTTGGGATCTTCACTCTTATTATAGTGTTTGTGTTCACTATTGTGTTGACCGTATTACTGTTTGGTGGTTATGACTCTTCTGTGTTCTACTTGGCTTCTATTGTCTACTACAACTTGTACTGCTTTGCAATGGGATTCTTGATGATCTCATACAACAAAGGTGTCGAGCAGAAGAAAGTCAAACAATTCGTCATCGACAACCCTTCAGAAATTGCAATGACTGTGCAGGACTACGGTGATGACGATGAAATTATTATTAATGAACAAGTCAATGAAGGAGTGCTGAACGATGAGCAAATTTCACTTTGAGAAAAAAAGTAAAACTATTTACGTTCGATTTTGTTGTTACTATTAATACTATTAATAATACTATAAATAATACTATTAATTAATTAATAGTATTAATACTTAAAATAAAATCCTTGTTTTTCAGTTGACGTGTTTTTAAAGGGATATTAATTAAAATTATGATGATTATGATTTTTTTTGGCTTTGTAATATTATTCACATAATAAACCTTTTAAAAATGGGAAATATATCTAATAACCTTGTAATTTCCCGTTTTTGGACAACTTAAATTATGTTCACTGTTCTTTAAGGTGTTAATAATAAATGGGTATATAACAAAAGGCAAATACACAGTCATAATAAATATCTAATGTACAAGAGCAAATACTTTTCTCAACCCCTTTGAGGAATGTCATTCAATTGTTTTGTTCGTTGTAAAAAGTGTTAAAACCTTGATTGTCGTCATCGCCCACCTCATCGCAATGCGACAATTTGACAACAAAACTGGAGGAGATATCATCACACTCTTTCTTTGTCTTACTTTCACTTTTGTCCTCCTTTTTCATTTCAATTTCATTGTTTTGAAGCGTTGTCCTCTTTGCGTTATTTAAAAGAATTTGATTGAGTAAAGGAATTTCTTCTTTTGTTAATTGAAGGTTGAGATGTTGTGTTGCTGAAGTTCTAAATGGTGTGGAGGTGGGGTGGAGCAGTGGGTAACACATATTAATGAGACTTGGGGAAGTCCCATTCCGTTGGATCTTCTGTCTTTGCAACTCTTCTGCGTTGTGGATAAATTTCATATCAATGGCGCTCTCATTCTTCTCTTCTTTGACTTCTTCGGACGTCCACGGATTATTGTGTTCAACCATTTTCCAAAACCCGTTGAGGCCAAACACGGGAAACCCCGTCTTAAAAGTCTTCGAGTGCGACAGTGCGTCCACCATCGCCTTTTTCCAAACCGACTCTCTGTGTTGGAATTGTTTCAAGTGAAAGAAGAACGCGTAATGGGAATGGACAAATGTGTAGATATCATTGACCAACGAAAAGTATTCCTTCGTCGGATCCAGGGAGTGAAGTGATGTGAAGATGACGCGCAGTAGTAAGTTCCATGTCATTTTTTGGTTGGCTCGAAACCCACGACGGCACAATTCGCACGGACAAGGAATGACTTGTGAAAGTGCAATGACGTTTTGAAGATATGCCATAAACAAATTCCTCTCGACTTCTTTTCCTTATATACTCGTCTTTCATGCAATCTCGTTCGTTTTGTGTTGTCTTATGAAAAAAGTCATTTTTTGTTTTTTTGTAAACTGTATTATTTTAAAATGAACTATACAATAATTAACTATAATTAATAATAATAATATTATTATTTTTATTATATAGCACATTTATTTATTATTAACAATGTGAACTAACTCATTAACATTATTAATTAAGATTATTAATACTATAATATTAACATAAAACAAAACAGATACACTCAATCTTCCTAAAACGTTCCATCAAATTCATCTGGGCAGTGGAATGAGAAAATGAAATTTCCGCTCTCGAGCACAGACCCGTTTTGCAGCACTGCACTTGTGTCCTTCCCCTTGAACAATTGATCAATCTTGAGTCCGTTCCTCCCCTTTAAGTAGCACACCCACTTTTTCGCGTCCTTGTCATACTTCACAATCGCATGCAAGTGAGATATACTCTTCGCCTCCATAAACGTCGACAAATCCAGGTCGACGATGTTGTCCCTTCCCTTTCTTCCAATCGTGATTTCTGGCTTCGTTAAGTTGATCATTTTGGTTTTGTTTGCTTCGTTCTCAAAATATGGGTACACCTTTGTCTTTCCCGTTGTGTTCCTGTTCACAGGCGGAACAGCAGCAACGTTGTTTGGCGAAGAGATTGGTGGCAACGTAAGAGATGGAGACATCTCGCTTTTGACAACCTTTTTTGGTGGAAGTTTTTCAGCAAACTCTGGTTGCAACCTCTTTCTCGCATCACCCGGATTTTCAACAGCAAACTTCGTAGCTTCCTTGACGACCTTTTCAGCTTCTTTAATTCCTTCCTTCTTCAATGCATTCAACATTTCCACATTCTTTGCGTCCAACTTGGAATATATCTGAAGAAGTCTTTGCCACGCCAGAAACTGGACAAATGATTGTGGGAAAAGTGACATGTCGAACATCTGTTGAGTCGGAGCGTTGCAGGCGTTACACAACAGATCCGAAGTGACAGAAAGTCCGGCTGGGACACTTCCCATCGCCATTTCCATTTCTTGTCTCCTGAGTGTCAAGTATTTAGAAAAGAGGTTTTTGGTATCATCTGGAATGGATGAGACTGAGGGAACATAGTTGAAGTTGATCTTTTTATCCAACATCGAAGCGTAGAGTAACACAGAAGCCTCATCGATGACGTCCTTTTCCTTTTGAACAAAATGTTCGAGGTACTCTCTTCTGTTCTCTCTCCAGTGGTGTAGGCAGATATAATTGGATTGGCACTTAACTGGGAGTTTGAGGACAATAGGAAAGTTGCCCACTCTATTATTGACAATGGGTAAATAGCAAACCTTAGTCTCATAAGGCTCGCCTTCGCAGAACCTACAGTACTTATAATCTCCAAGAATCATTTCTTCTTGATTTGGCTTAACCTTAGCATCTGGAAGGTTTTCTATCTTCTCCAATTTTTCAACCTTCTCTTCTTTCTCTGTAGTTTCTGGGGGTGCAGACGGTTCTTCTTTCTTTTCAGCAACCTCCACTTGCTCTGTTTTTTCCTTGTCGTTTATCTCCATTTTTTCCGCCTTTTCAATGCCGATCTTTTCGGCTTTCTCAATCTCGTTCTCTTTATTTGGAATTTGATTTTCGAGATTTTCAGTTTTCTCTTCATTTTTTCGTTCTTCAATATTTTCTTTCTCTTGTGGTGCCATTGTCACATTTTCGTTTTTTTCTGGTTCTTGTAATTTTTCTTTTGGTGGCTCTTCCTCCATTTTATCGGATTGAGGTATTGATGGTTGTTCTTTAATGTCTTCGGGTTCTGTCAATGGAGGCAGTTGAACTGGTTTTTCTTGCGGTTCGGGCTCGATCTCCATTTTCGGGTTTTCCAGATCTCCTTTTGTTTCGGCGAGTGGCTCTAAAACGGCTGTGGGCAAATCTGGCTTAATTTCCGGGTTTGTTGGGACCTCTTCCATTTTTTGAGTTTGTTCGACGATTTCTTTTTGTTCGACGGTCGTTTGTTGCAGTGGTTTGAGTGGCTCCAAAAACTTGAGGTCTTTGGTTTCGTTTTGTTGTGACGGCAACTTTTCTGGTGCGTCGTTTTGGTGAGTTTCAAGGGGTGACAAACCGGACATTTCTTCACTTTACAATTCAAGATCTGTTTTTCGTGATTCTATTTTTATATCGTAGGGTTTTTTGTTCAATTATTTCAGTTCGGCAGTTCCCGGGATTCAAAGTCTTTTTTCTCTTTTCCTCAGAATGTGATGTTTTCAGTAACGACTTGTGGCATTTCGATGATTCACAACACAATGTTTTTATTGACACATTTTTTTATATCATTAATAGATTTTTTAATTAATATGTTTGTATTAATTCGTATTAAATATTGGAGTGTGTTTTTTTTGCGCCAAAAAAACAATTTTTTTTATTTCAAGAAAAATTTTTGTTGTCGTAATAAAAGTCATTGTTTTAAATTTGTAAACTTCATTTTTTCATAAACTTTACATTATAATATTAAAACTATATTCAATTGGTTAATTTTTTTTATTATCCACAAAACGACTAAATGAGTCTAATCACAAATTTGAAAATTTAAATTCTGTGGGATTTGAAATAACATATGCAAACAATTTTACCTAAGAACATAAAACTCAATAGATTAAATCAACTATTTTTAACTTTTTCTTTGTCTTGTTTATGGAACATCAATGAGATGAGATATTGGAATCCCGAGCCCATGAAATACACGACGTATCCAAACACCCATCCGATATAATGGGCGAACACAAGGGCATTAAGTCTATAGAGTTCGCCTTGCCATGGAGCTATTCATTACTATTTAAAAACTAAATAATAATAATACAATAAAATCATTACTACTCTTTTATATACAATATAATACAAATAATTATATTTTATATTACAGAATAAACAAACACGAATGTGGAGGGAACATCATGAAAGACAAATTGAGTCCAGTCACATAACTAAATGGCACGCACAAGTAAAAAGCCAATAAAATGAATAAGAAAAGACCGAAAAAGAAATATCCAAAGAAATGTCTGACTGATAATTTTGAGTCATTTAAAGGGAAAACAATTGGTAAAAAGAATTGGAACGAGTGTTGGATATAGTAAAATGGTTTTTCAAAAAAGAGTACATTTTTCTTAGTATCTGGGAACACCAAAGCGAAGAGTGGAATACATGAGCATTGATATAAAAACCCCGTATGTTGTGGTAAAAAGAACAAAACAATTGCTTGGACCAATAAAATGATATGACACGGCATGAATATAGTGAAAAAGATTCTTCTTTGATATTTGTAATACATTTGAGTGACAAAGCAGAAGAGACAGAAAGCACCCAAATATTTCGAATACCACTTCTTAGTGTTGTGACTCTTCTCTTTAGAAGTTTTCGGGAAGATGATCAATGCAAACAATAGGTCTAATAAACAAAAGGGAATCGCAAAGATCATCTGATGAATATTACTTCGCGGTTTGACTGTCCAAAATAAAGGATCGGAACTCGTGACTGAAATGTTGACTAAATAATTCTCAAGAACATCTATTGTTGGTCCAAACTGTCGCTCAACAAAACTGTTGAAGTGTTCCATCGCTTCGTTGCTTTGGGTTTTGTAGTTTATTAACAACTATTAATGTATTATATTTCTATTATAAAAAGTTGTAATTTTTAACTATTATTAATAGTTAAATTTGCTATATATAAGTTTGTTTTTGTCGATGATGTTTTTTTTTACAAATGATAATTTTCTTTTTATTGCCAAATTATTTATTAGATATCTATTATAAAATATATTATATTTATAATTAAAAAAAATTAAATTGATGGCAATTTTTGTTTTTCTTATAGTTATAATATTAGATTTTTTAAATTAGTAAAAATATTATTTATATATTGTTTTTTTATGTCTAAATTTTGTTTTGTTTTTAAATGTAAAAAATTGTGATTGTATTTTTGAAAAAAAATAATGTGATTGTAGGCTAAAAAATTATCGATTTTTCGACTTTGAAAAATAAATATTTCAACATAATATAAATTATATTATTTAAGTTAAAAAAAAGGTTATAATTTTTATCATACTAAAATATTTATCAAACCATTTTCATTGTTTTAGGATAACTTTTCAATTATTTGTTTTATTGGTTTCTATTTACTTTAATTTTCCATATAATTGTTGAAATTTAATTTAATTAAAAAATTAATCAAAAAAATAAACAAAGTCTATTTTGAGGGTTTTTTAAATTTTTTACACAAATGTTTTATAAAATAAAAACTCATCAATAATTAGACATGTGTTGTGTTATTTTAGTACAGATAGTAGAAAATTTGGTGTCAAGAATAAATTGGGTGTCAGATTGATTTTGAGTTATTTAGGGTGGTGATTTTATTTTTTTTTTGTGAGGGGAAAAAATAAAAAAACGAAACCCATTTTTTTACATTAACTAATCCCTAATTTATTTGACACCCAATTTATTCCTGACACCCAAATTTTCTACTATCTGTATAACAAGTTAAAAACAATATATTGTATAATCAATTTGTTTTATTGAAGATGGATCTTTAATACTATACTATAATAAATATATTCTAATTTAAAACACTAGAATTTTTTAAAATTAATTTAGTTATATTTAATGATTAAAATTTAATTACAAAAAATATATAATATAGTTGATGTATAGTTAATTATATATTATTATGATTTAAAAAAAACAGTTAAAAATAGATACACCATTGAATCAATGAAAAACAAACCACATAATTATTTTCAGATAATCAAAAAATTAAAATAGATACCATTTTTAATAACAATTTAATAATAATTGTAAAACAATTGATTTATTTTTGCTTGATAAAGGATTGATAACATTGAAAAAACAATGCCAATACATGTTTTAAGGTCAATTCTTTAAAATACATATTGATCATCAAGTCATCTCCAAATTCATATTATGAAAGTGATACTCTTTGTACTCCTTATTATCACACTCTCTCAGGGTAAAAGGAAGTCCAAGAAGAGAGAAAGTCCACCAAATAATAAGCAAAAGAAAGAGAATAAAGGGCAACTAACTACAACAAGAAAGACTGGCAAAAGTGTTCAAATAAGTGGCAAAGGGAAAAAAGGTTCTTTAAGTATCAAAGCAGAGCGTAGAGACAAGAACACAAGAAGTACGTCTGTTGGGGGTTCTGTCAACTTGAATAAAGCTGTTACTGTCACTGGTTCTGTCTCCAAACAAACCACAAAGACTCCAAAAGGTGTTTCTCGCACAACAAACACCAAAATAGGAACAACTGTTCGTCCCACAAAACGAACACAAGTTCGAGGAAGTGTTGAGAGACGGGAGACCAATGGGAAAAGAACACATTCATACAGTGCTGGTGTTGCTGTGAACCCAACCAAAAATTCAGAAGTAGCTGTCGATTACACCAAAGGTCATGATGGTCGAAGTGGTGTCAAAGTGAGTGGTAAAATCAAACGTGGTCGTGTTGAAGCCGCCGGTAGTGTTGAAATGGGGAAGAGAAGAGGATATAGTGGGTCTGTCGCATATGAAACAAAAAGAGGAACACGGATCGAAGGTTCAGTCAGTTCGTCAAATGCTGGGAAAAAAAGAGAGACAACAGTTGGGGGAAAGGTGTCAACAAAAATTGGTAAAAAAGGTTCTGGTTATATCGGAGTCAGTCATGGAACTTCTTCAGGAACACAAATCGAAGCTGGATATCGACACCAATTTAATGACAGACTCTCTGCTAATGTAGGGGGGTTCCACAATTCAAAAACGGGTACTGGGGCATCGGCTGGTCTTTCTTGGACATTTTAATAGTTAACCATCACTCGTTTCGCTTTTTTAAAATATCAAAGTATTTCTTAATAACAATTTAACTATACTTTTTAATAAATATCATTATAAATTTAATTATGGTTTTTGAATTGTTATTAATTAGGTTCAAACTATTTGAAATTAAATTTTCAAATGGTTTTAATCAATAGTTCATTTACTAGTTTTTTGTTATTTGTTTAATAAAAACAATTGTATGAAAAAAACTATTTTCGGCTTTTTTGTTGAAAAGTTTTAAAATTTGTTAAATAGTGAGAACTATAGTTTCATAATTTGTATTATTATTAACAATAGTTAATCTATAATTATATAATCCTGACGTGGCATTTTTTTGATAAATACTATTGTTATAGTAAAAATACCAACGATATATAACGATATTGTTTTCAAAAAAAGTCAGGTAAACAAAGAATGTGAAGAGTGTCAAATATTTTTTCAAACATCTTAGGTAAAATTTGTCAGGTACATAGTTTTCTTTTCTCACTCTCTTGACAATCTGGAGATTGTGTGTGGAACGAGGCACTTGTGTTGGTATTTAAGCTCCGAAAAAACGAACTAAAACACCAAAAAAGATGTCAGGAGCAGTTGTAACGTATGATTGCATCAAGTCATTCATGAAAGAGGTGCTCATGAAGATTGGAGCGCCAGAAGAAAACGCAGAGATGACTTCAGAGACTCTAGCGAGTGCAGACCATTCTGGGATGTGTACACATGGGATTCAACGCTTTAAAACAGTTTACATTGACAGAATAGAAAAGGGAATGATCGACCCAAAGGCAACTCCAACAATTGTTCGTGAGTCACCAACAACAGCAGTGTTAGACGGAAATAATGGGCTTGGACATGTCAACGGGACAATAGCAATGAAAATGGCTATTGAAAAAGCCAAGAAATATGGCATGGGAATGGTTGTTGTTCGAAATTCAACACACTTTGGAATCGCCGGGTTTTATTCACTCTTGGCCGCACAAGAGGGGATGATGGGAATGGCAGGAACAAACGCAAGATCGTCTGTTGCGCCCATATACGCAGACGAACCAAAACTTGGTACAAATCCACTTTCTGTTGCTTTTCCCTCGGACGAGGCATTTCCTTGGTGCTTCGATGCTGCAACTTCAATCTCTCCAACGGGGAGGTTTGAGAAGTTTGTCAGAGAAGGAAAACAGGTGGACCCAAGTTGGGCTTCAAAGGGTGGAGACACCCCACTTACAGACGCAGCAGCGTTTTTAAAAATGTATCCAAAGGGTGAGGCGTATTTACACCCACTCGGAGGTAAAGAGGAAGTCAATGGTGGGCACAAAGGATATTGCCTTTCAGAAATGGTCGAAATTTTATCAGCATGTTTCTCGACATCAAGTTTCTTGAGCCAAATTGAAGCTGGCGCAAAGACAACTGGAAAGTACGAAATTGGACATTTCTTCATTGCTGTTGATATTAGCACTTTCAGAGATCTCGATGAGTTCAAAAAGAGTGTGGGAGACGTCAACAGAGAGCTCAGAGCAGCAAAGAAAAGACCGGGATACGATAGAATATACACTGCTGGAGAAAAGGAGTATGAAACTTGTCAGTACGGACTTAAACATGGCGTTCACATTCCACAGACAACAGTCGATGAGATGACAGAGTTAAAAAAGAAATATGGTGTGAGTGTGAAGCTTCCATGGGAATAAAATTGATTATCTTTTTAATTGTTTCTTTTTAGTAAGTTTTTTAATATGTTTTAACACCATTATGAAAACCAGTTGATTTGAAAATTAATTATCTGGGTTTATTTCCATGATTTAATAAGCCGAGTCTTATCACATGATGACACAAACTAAGTGTAAACCAATGTTTTATTTAGTATTTATTGATAAACTATATATATTAGAATATAATAAACAATGTCAAATCTTATCTATTTTAAAACACTCAAAATAAATAATAATGACAAAGTTTATTCGTTCTTCATTTCGTATAAACACCAAATAGCAATCATTTAGGCGAGTAAGTACCTGTTAGCATTCATCAGTTGTAAGAAAGGTTGTTCTACAAAATATTGAGGCAAGAAGCTAATGACTACAAAGCAACTTTTGACGATTTCCTTCACCACAGGGACATTCAAATTACTGTTCACAATTCCCGTTCGCGCAGCTTCGTTCAAAAATTCGATGAGTAAATTCACAAACTCAAAGTAAATGCCGTTGAGGACTTTTCTTAACACGTACGACTTAATCGTTTGGATGTTAACAACGCACTGATCAATTCCAGGAAATCCAACGGGGAAGACTTCTCCCTCGGAAACAAATTTCATGACAAATTGAATATCTTTTCTCTCGCACGCATCATACCCGTCGCATATCTTGTTGAGTAAATAGAAATCGTTCCTCACTCCAATGTCGTTCACATCTTTCAACACAATATCTGTCACTCTCCCCAACTCATTTCGTGCATTCTCGCGTTCCCCTCGGTCATTTAACATCATCGCAGCACGATCATTAATGATCCGAACATACTCGTTCATATTCCCTGTTATAGAGTTGACCATCATCGCAACCTCAGGATTCTCAAGCTCCGATTTCCGGCTGATCGTTTCTACACACTCAACATCACACAAGACTCCGTCCTCATTCATCATATCAGAACGTCCATACTCAACAACTACTTTAATCAACGCTTCTTTGTAATATTTCCGGTCAAGAAGATTCAGCAATTTCTGTATATCAACAGGTGTCGGTTGGTACGTCTTAATCACTAAGAGTATGAACTTGGCTTTATTAAACACGCAATTTGTCTCAATCAGGCCTCTCTTCATCAACTGTTCCAATGTATTCGCTTTACTGATCGTGATCATGTCGTGCCTTTCCAACAACTCGCACATCATAATAACTGCTATGATATTCTCATACGTTTTGTTCGTGTCATGAAGCAAAATAGCCAAACATTGGGTAAATTGAGATACAACACAATACAAATAAGGGTACACGATCGACGTCTCACATGACATTTGATACATAAACGTTTTCCTTCGTTCAATATCATTAGAAAGTACAGTAAGCTATTCGTTATTTTTTGTTCAAAGAGTATGTTATTACTAATAATATAATTATAATAATATATTAGTAGTAGTATTATTTAATAGTATAATATATTAAAACAAACGTAATACCATATGAAGTCATCAAGAGAGTACTTCACTACGACATCGATCTCGCGGAACCTCCCAATCACTTCCACACCACTCATTATTGAACAGACGAGTATCCCAAAGTAATCTTTACTTTCAATGAAAGCCTTCATTGCCATTTCTAGCGCGTATTTGTGTTGTTGGTTAAAGGTCTCTGTACGTCCAATGTATATCTTGACTAACTCAACAAATAGTGGTGGAAGAGCATGACAGTCCGGGGTGGCCAAGTACGTCAAAAGATCATATTTCAGTCCACCACGTAACATCAAATAAATGATTGCCGTGTATTTCTTTTTCATCACAAGAACGTCTTGGAAATTTGTGACTTATTGTCAGTTCTTTTGAACACTTTTTAGCCTCTTTTTGAATCAAAACAAACGTCCCATTTGCATCAACAGCTGCTCCGCCAAACTCGCAAGTCTCGCCTGGACTTTCTGTGGTGTTCTTTCCGTGTCGCCGAACAACAAGTCCGAGAACAGGATTTCTAAGAAGTCCAAAGACGCACACCGAATTGCATTATCTTGTGAATAATCCATATGTGAACCTCGATCGGAAATAGTCCCATCACATGTCCCATTTCTCAGTGCAGAGTCGAGTTTAGCCAATCCAACAACAAACTGGACGGGAAGGGAGACAAACTCTTTAGAGAATAGAGGAAGTACTGTCTCGTACTCAACATCAAGTTGACTATTAAGCAAGTCAAGAACGTTTCCAAGAACATTCAAAGGCATCGGACATTCTTCGATTTCAATATCAAGGCCAGGGTCCGTCATTTCTTCCTTCTCTTTGTTAAAGAACGACTTCTCGGCAATGTCCTTGACTATTTCATTACATAAAGTGTTATATTCTTTCCTATTCATTAGTTCTAAGCGTTCAGGTGTTTAAAATGTATTGATAACAAACACAAAATACTCCGTTGGGTCCAGATCATCGCGAGTCCCTCCAACAGAAATCGGTACTTGGCGAATCGCAACGGCTCGCGAGCGGTCGCGGAACTTTTCTATCTTTTTGATCGTTTTCCCTTTTACATCAGGGTAAAACCGGGGTTGTTGAATTTCTTTTAGAAGTTGTGAAAGTGACATGTCGATTATCGGTGGAATAGTATTCCGTTGTTCAAACAAATTCATGTTTGTAAGTAGCCCGTCCAGGTCTCCCATTTTCTCTTTTTTTTTAGTCTTCTTTTAATTCTTTCAAAATTATAATTATATTTTATTATCATTTACTATTTATTATTTATTAACTATAAATTATTATATTATCATATTATTATATTAAATTATAATATTAAATTATTAATTAAATTATTAATTGTTTTATTATTATAATAGTTTTTTCGAATATATTATTGATACTATTTTATTGTTTAATTATAGCTATTTGTTACTACCGATTGAATGAATCAAACACTTTCCAAACAAAGTGTTTATTATACTAATGTACCATATTATATAATAATGTATATTATATATTATAATACGATTATTTGTAAAGAAGTCGACTCGAAACGGCACAGAATAGAACTTGATAATAGTGAATAGATGTCAACCACTTCTTCAACCAACACCGACAAGATATTACCAACTAAAACACTTCCAAAAGTTCCGCCCCCAAAAGTCCCATCAAAGGAATTGCCAAAAGCTCCATCTAAGGCTCCCCCAAAACCGCCTCAAAAAGTACCACCAAAACAACCAGAAACACATGAGATTACTCATGTTGAAAAAGAAGAAAAAAGTGAACAACAAAAGGAAAGTACTTCTTCAACACTCCAAACCGTTGAAATCAAAAAAACGCCTCATGAAATTTTGATGGAAGACTTAGAAAGTTCGTCTCATTACGTTCATGCAGAAAACGACTTAAAAGCGTTCTTTGATGCGACAGAAGAAGGCAAATCGATCATTTGGGATTTACTTAAACAAGTCCGTCCAGGGATGGATCTCAGTCGAATCTCCTTCCCGTCGCACATTCTGGAGCCACGGTCGTTTCTTGTGAAGACCACGGATTACTTCTCACACATTCAGATGTTTGAAAAGATCTCCTCAGAACCCGATGCGTCAAGGCGAATGCTTCTTCTAGTGAGTTGGTTGTTGAGTGGATTTTATTTGATGCCGACGGGAATCAAGAAGCCATACAATCCCGTTCTTGGCGAGACTTTTAGAACTATGTGGAAACATCCTGATGGGACACATTCATATCTTATTGGTGAACAAGTCTCCCACCACCCACCAATATCCGCTTTCTACGCTTCAAATAGAGCACAGGGGTGGATGGGAAATGGTTACATCAAATTCTCAACTGTCTTTCGTGGTATTTCAGCTGGGATTATACTTGGTGGGGGTATCGACATTTACTTGTTGAAGTGGAATGAACATTACACTATGACATTCCCAGAAGCACTTGCCTCAGGATTCTTTGTTGGTCCAATGTTGATGGAAATAGCTGGAAAGAGCACTTTCAATTGTAAGGAAAGTGGGTACTCCGCTGAACTCGAGTTTCACACGACTGGCGTGTTTTCAAAAGACAAGTATCAGACCGTGACGGGGAAGATTACACATGAAGGGAAAGAGGTGTACACTGTGTCAGGAAATTATTACAACGAGTTGTTTTACACTGGAAGTGACAAAGTCAAGAAGAGTCTTCTCGACATCAACAAGTTGAAGATGGAGAAGGGTGCTGAGCGGTTTACTGTAGATAAGAAGACTCAAGGCGCGTTCGAAAGTGACAAATTGTGGGAGAAAGTGACAGAAGCAATTTACAAAGGCGACCAAAAAGTCGCGACTGACGAGAAATGCATTCTTGAAGAGGAACAACGAGAACGTGTCCGCGTCAATGAGACTAATGGGACTCCTTATGAGACAAAGTACTTTGTGGCAGATGACACACTCGGGTGGAAGTACGTCGACTTCAACAACAAGCAGTTCAACAGCGAACTGGAGGTCTGCGACTACGAGAAGGACTACCACATCAAAACCCTTACTAAAGAGGAACAACAAATGAAAGAACAACACAAGCTTGAGCGCATCATGTAGCGTCAAAGCATCTCTTTTTTTTCTACTTTTTTGTGTATTTATTTTATTATCTTAAAGAATTTTTTCCTCATTTACAGATAAAATGAGTAAGATTTTATTAGTTGAATATATTAATTCAATATAACTAAATTAAAACTAGTAAAGACATGTCGAACAAAATGATAGTAAAAAGAGCTATAAATATAATTTCAGGGTGTGTGTGACTTGAGTGCTTGTATTGAGTGTTCTTGTAGTTCTCAAAGCTGAGAAAAAGACCACAAGTCTCTTTGGATTGGACTTGCGACTCTAAAAGCTCTTGGTGATTTCAATAATGTTTGAATATTCGAATCACATCTTTCCGTACTTGACACGCCAAAGGCGACGGTACTTGCTCTCTTCTTTCGTGTGTAAACCAAAGTGAAATCGAACGAGTCGACGTCACAAAGGAGTGTCTCTGGTTCTACCATGACTTTAGTTTTATTTGAGAAGAGTTGGATACAAGCGAACTGCTCTTCGACCCTCAGTTTGTATGTCACGAAGTTAATTAAATCGCCGACGGAAGTGTATTGTGATATCTTGACTAAGTAATCCTTTGAAATGACTGATATCCCAGAGACTTTCACTTTATATGTTGGGACGTCCTTTTCGTAACTTATTTTCCCGTCTTGACAAACTACACCGATCTTTGGGAGGGAGCCAAATGACATTGAATGTGTTTTATAAAGTGTTCTAATGATGTCAAACGCGTTATCTGATATCAAAATATAATCAACTTGTGGAGTTAACGTGGGTTTGACTAATTTCCTTGAAAGGCACAAAGTCTCTTGTACAATCTTTTTAATGTCACACTTCTTGGGCAACGCAATCAAGTCGGGACACTCCAAATATGAGATGAGTTGAATGTGGTAGTCACTGGGCAAACAATAATTAATGGTATGAAGACGGGTATACGTTATTGGTGTTCGTAGCTCGGTAAGTAACTTGGCGCAGAGATCCTTTGTTTGCACAGAATTTTGAGAAAGCTGTAACATCTGCTTTTCCATTTGCAGTTCATAGTGTTTCTAAAGTTTCAATATCTAAATTTAAATGATAGAAAGTTATTCTTTAGTAGTAAATTATATTTTTATGACTCTTTTTGGATTGAATATAATTTACATAATATTTAATTATAAAATTGTATGGTTAATTGGTGGTGAAGTTTTATTTGTAATAAAAAAAAACTATTCGAATTGATTGAATCAATATTTTAAAAAAATTAATTATAGTATAATATATAATAAATTATTGTTGTTGTAATAATACAAATAAACAATTACAATTGAATAATACAAAATTATAAATAAAAATAGATTAGAAGTATTTATTAAACTAGAAAATTAGTTTTCTATTATCTTAGACTCCAATAGTACTTATAGAAAAATAATACTAAAAATTAAACTATTTTTAAATTGGAGTAAAAAGAATTGAAAAACAAAAAAATAACACAAACCCAAAAAAAGACAAAAAATCAAACTTTGCATTTCAGAACTTCAAAAGAAAACAGAGTTCGTGAAAACCCTTTTCGTTTTTATTGAACTGCAATTTTTCAAGCAAATGGCTTCCGAAGTGACACAAACAACGGTTCCAAATCATGACCATGGGATTGGGATCCAAACGAAGCAACAATTCTTAGTCGAGAGTGAGATAGTCTTAGAAGAACTGATAATTAAATATCGCAAAATAGAAATGGAGAAAATGCGTCAAAAAGTTTCATTTCTTGAAATCATCCCCATTTATAAACAAATGAACGCCGAATTGGAAAGTTTGATTCAACATTTTAAAGAACGGAGAAACACTTTAACTTTTCAACAACTGAACTCGGGAACTCCTGAAGAAAATACCTCAAGATCCCCTCTTCCAAATATCTTCTCAGAAAAGGAAACTATCTTCCCTTTACAAACAATTCAAACACCAATTAATAGCTCATTACCAACTTCAGACGATATAACTCCTCTTAAAAACGTTTCCACGACAAATACTACAGCAGCTAAATTACCGACTTTACTCTTCTCTCCTTTACAAAATAAAAATACAATAAAACTCCCAAAAGCTCCCGTCACAGCTATTCAACAAATTCAAGCGACGAAACATAATGGGTCCAGACATAGAAGTCACAAAAAGGATAAGAACTGTTCAAATCAATTGAGTGACGACGAGACTGAAATTAACTCGGACCCAGATACAGAAACTTTAGTGAGTTCCTGCTCAGACACGGTCGAGGAGTTAGTCGAGAAAAAGAAGAAAGACAAAGTCGACAAAATGGACAAAGATGAGAAGAAGAAAGACAAAGAGAAGAAACCACGCAAACGCATAACAATGCCAAAAAAAGGAGAGAAGAAGAAAGAAAAGAAGAAAGAGACTAAAGAAGATAAAAAAGACGATGAAAAAGCCGACAAAGAGAACATCGAAAAAGACAAGAAGAGTGATTGGTTACAACCACTCTCCACACTCAACCAGATGAAAAAAGAGGGCGACTTAGTGATAGTCCCACTCAATATAAAGAAAGATGAACTCCCTCAAGAAACAGTCAATAACAAACAAGACGAGAAAGTGTATCATAACATGGAGGAGTTATTTGGAAATGAAAATAAGGGGAATGACCAGATGAGTGAGGATGAACTAAGTATGAATCACATGGATTGAGTTGTTTATTATTATTTAGTATATTATAACTATATACCACTAGAACAACGAATACTATTACTATATTATAAATATATTATATAATATAATATATAATTATAGTATTATTAATGGTATTATTAATAGTATTATTAATAGTATTATTATAATTTATATTTGATACTACGAACTAATTAATTTCATTAGAATGTTGACATTTGTCGACTTAGTTAATGTTATTGAGTACCTTCCTATTATAGAAGCACTGAAGTTTCCAACAGTGTCAAAAAAATGTGAAGCTGCTTGTTTGGGTTCTACAATAGTCCCACTCACATGTAAGAGTTATAGAGAACTTCAACTCTTCATAACGAAATTCAGAAATATGAAAATAGTCCGAGCACCGTTTGGAGTCATTTCAATGCTCGACGCGGAGGTTTTAAGTCACTTTCAGAGTGTTGAAATCTCGGACTTTCACTATAACTCAAATTACGCGATTTTAAAGGCGTTGCCCCATTTTGTAAGAGAGAAGCTGAACGTTGAAATTCAAAGAGTCGACGAGAACAAATTGAACAACTTGGAAAAGCTCTTTGTGCACGCGTCGTATTTTAAACAGATCAAAAATGTTCGGTTTCCTCATTTGAAATTTTTGAAATTGGAAGACGTCGACTTGGAGAATATTTCACAGCTCAATGGACTCAACGAGTTTTGTCCGAAGTGTAAAATCTATGCAACGATTTACCTTGGAAATGAGTTGGCTAACGAGAAGACAAAGGCGAAACTCGCGACAGTAGTGTCGAAGTATCACCACATTGTCAATTTCTCGATATTTGGAGGGGGGTATCTCGACTCTCCAATGGGGACTCAAGACATCAAACTCTTTGATCTGAGCCAAGACGACTTCACTGCACTTCACACGTACTTTAATTTGTCGTTTACTGACACACTTAAAATGAGTTGTTTGAAACTTCTGAAGTCGCCAGTGGATTTGAGAGCAGTCGAGTTCAACGAATTTGTCATTGACACTGACGACAAAAAGCGAGTGTTACTGCCGAAGGGTGTGAAGCGTGTTATTGTCGAAAAGGAAATGGAAAATGTGTTTGAGAATGTTCTGATTGACAACTTTGAGGAATTGCACGAACTTCAAAAGATTGTGACGTATGGCGACTTGAAAATGCCTTTAAAATATGAGAGCATAGAGACTGTTAAAATGTGTCGAAAGGAGAGAGACAGAGAGAGTGAAGTGTGGTGGTATCGAGATATATTAAAGATGGTTGGATGGTATAATATATTCAGTCTACTTTTTATAGTACTGTTTGCGCCCCAACTCACACTCTTTTTGAAGTTAGTGAAATTCCATAATATCGGCAATAGTTTATTCTTATTAATGAATAACATGTCTCTTGCTGTGATGAAAGCAACTGCGGAGAATATCGACATCAAAGAGTTCATTTTATTTGTGTTTTATTCCCTCTTCTCATTTGAAATGACGTTCTTCATCTTTGTGCAAGACTTCTACTCCCCATCGACTCTCTTTCAAGTCGTCATTTCTCTTGTGAGTGGAATTACGTTGTCTATTCTTCCATTTTCAGAGGAATTTATGGTACTTGGATACTCAAATGAGTTACTCAGTAAATTAGTACGAGCGAGGTGTCGTACAATTATGCTTCCAAAATGTCTTGCAAGCACTTTTGTTGAAGTATTTTTAAATATAAAAAGGTCTTCTCTATGGCGTAAGGTGTTGCTTCTAACAATTTTAAGTGCGTTCTTAGCTTTGGAGATGAGTTACTGTTTCTTGGCTTTATACCCACTTAGTGTCTTCCATTATATCAACACAACACTTCTTGTTCTCCCACTCCTCCACATAGTTGCGTCTTAATACAATATTAAATAATTTAACAGTCAATTTAATTAATTTAAATTAATTATAATTAATTTAAACTTAAAATACTAAGAAAAGAAACCATTCGATCTTAACATCATTACAATAGTAACAAGGAAAATATGAAAGATTTGAAATGAGGGTTAATAAAAAAGATATAGTAAAGAATCTATTAATTCTAGATGGACATTGAAAACGAAGAAGAGTTCAAATGGGACGAAGTTGTCGCCGCCGACACAATCACACCGACTCACAAACTTTCTCCGGACGTTCTTGAAATATTGAAAAAGAATGGCATCGATCAATTATACCCGATGCAAGAAGTCATTCTCGAATTCATATCGTCCACTGAAACTGATATTGCCGTTCGCGCCCCAACAGGAAGTGGTAAAACATTGTCGTATACTATTCCGATGTTTGAGTATGTTAATCCGTTGATCCAACACGTCCAAGTGATTGTCTTAACCCCGACATACCCATTAGCGGTTCAAGTTGCGAATGTCATTCGACCACTCATGTCGACAATTAAAGTCTCAGTGAAGTGTTTTGGCGAAGGTTCGATCGACTCTGAAAATTACTGTTCATCGCAAATAGTCGTCACAACTAACTTCCGTCTAGTCAGTCACTTGGCAAACAAAACGTTGGACCTCCGTTGGCTGTCCACAGTCATCTATGACGAGACAGACAAGTTGCTGACACACCCATTAATGCACTCGATGGTCGAAATGCTCAAACCCTCTTTTGTTCCCCCACATCTCCTTTGTGTGATTAACGACCCTGAGAAAAGTGTTATCGAACCATCGGGATTGGGCATTCCATTCCGGTCGATGCTGTTCTCGGCGACTTTATCGTCGTCTCCGCGGTTCTTTAAAATCCTCAAGATGAATCGGCCGATGCTTCTGGACTTCCAGTCGTCTTTTGAGAGGAAAGAAGACGACCAGAAGTACACGTTGAACAAACAGATCACTAATATAGTCACCGGGATATCATCGATGTCACGCGATGTTGTTCTTCTTGCACTTTTGAAAGACACGAGCAAACGGTACATCGTGTTTTGTAACTCAACGGTGCGAGCGTTTTTGGTGTTCAAATTAATTCGAGCGATGGGAGAGTACTTCCACCTTGAGAAGAATAAAGTCCAATGCTGTCACGGGATGATGAACCCAAAGAAGAAAGTGAAGCTGTTGCAACGCTTTGAAAGCAAACAGGTCTCTATCTTCGTCACAACAGACACACTCAGTCGTGGTATCGACTATAAAGACGTCGATATGGTTATTAACTACGACGCTCCAAATACTACTGCACTTTATGTCCATCGCGCCGGTAGGTGTGGAAGATCCCAAAAAGCTGGGTGTTGCCATTCCTTGATATATAAAGAAGAAGAGCCAACAATTAAGAAAAGTATTTACTCCTCAGGCGGAAAGCCTATTTTTAGACCCGTCGATGTCCCTCAAGATTTGAAAGACGCATACAAAAAGGCCGCTGATGAAATTGAAAACGACAAATCAGTCATCGAATTCACCAAAAATAAAAAGTGACTTTGGGTTACTCATTGAATTGATTGATTGAAAATGAATGTTAGTATAGAATAATGTTACTATAATTATATTATACACCTCTGTACTATTTTTTTAATTTAAAAATAGTATATTGTTTCTGTTTTAGAATAATAATAAGTTAGATACTTTTTATTATTTATATTTTTTTACTATATAAAAAACCATGTCAATAGTTAAAATTAACTGTAACTTAATTTTTAATTATTTATTACCTTAAATAATAATAATTATAATAATACTATAATTAATAGTACAACAATTACAAATAAAAAATATAATAACAGAAATGAAAAACAAATAGTTTAATTTTGTTCAACCAAAACATATTCTGGGTACGTCTTGAGGAACTCGTCGACAGCATCTCTGATGTCTTGCTTAGGAGAGCACTCTTCGAGGGAGATCTGTTTATCGCAATAAGGGCAAGTTCCCTTTGCAAGGCAGTTTTCGCAGATAGTTTCTCCGCAACAAAAAACAAAAACAGCTCCAATCAATAAATTGCCACATTTACATAATAAGGACTGCCTCTCGTTGAGAATCCGTTTCTTCTCACCTTCGGCCTTGAGTTGCTCGACATCCTCTTTACTCACTTCCACAACCTCTTTGGAAGGCTCTTTCACTTCAACTTTCTTCTTATCAGACGCCCTCTTCTTTTGCATTGGCCGTGCTATCCGCGGCATCCGTTTCACACACAAGAACGTGTTTTTGGTTATGCGATCCCCACCAATATACTCTTGATTCGTTTGAACGTCGTAGATATGAAGCTCATCTTTATCAGAGGAATCGCCTCGTTGCTTGATGATCTCATTAATCACCTCACTCGCGGTGATCGAACGCCCAAAGAAGGATATCTTCTTGTCGTTCCTCTTCGAGACTTCAAAATGGTACATCACCACTCCTCTTGTTGCCATTAACTTATGAAAATTACCAGTTTCTTTAGGGCTTATATACTTCAGAAGGTTTTTGACTCTTTATATATGGATTTTCGCGGGATTATTTCTGTTAATCAGAAAGTGATATGTGGTTGATTTATTATATATATATAGTTAATTAAACTAGTTTTTTCTCATCCGAACAATTAACTTTTTTTTGTATTTTTTGTTATTCTTGTTTTTTATAAAATTTATTATTGTGGTATTAAAATAAAATACATAACAATTTTTATACCTATTATAATTATAATTTAAATAAATTCATTTTGATTTGAAATACACATTTTTATAATTAACTAATACATATTATAAAATAAGTTATTTAAATAACATAATTTTTTTTTCCATTTAATATTAGAACACAATCTAATTTATTAATACCTTTCAATTTTTGTGAAAATACATTTTCATTACAGTCAAAGGTGTCTATTTGTCGTAAATGAGTGAATTTTGTAGAAAATTCTTTTTAATATTGAAATTTATTTTTTATAAAAAATTTGGTTTTTAATTCAACAAAAGTTACAGATTAGAGAACAAAATATTTAATTGTCGTACACCAAAATGATTGGCCAGTTGTGCGACAATTAAGCAACTTCGACAATTATAATTACGACAAATAGACGCCTTTGACTGTAAATGAATCATTGCAAAAGTGATGCAATTTTTTTTATAATATTTGAGTGTTATATAACTCTTTATTAGTAATTATTATTAATAATTAATTATTATTATTAATTATTAATTGTTATTAATATATTATGAATAATAACAATATTAAAACTATTATTTTAATCAAAAATCTTTTTACCATATTTTTAATGTGAAAAACAAATAACTAATTTAAATGTATTTTTTATTATTCGATTTTATAACAATATGAATTATATAGTATATTATTATATATTACACTTTTTTACACATTCTTAAATTATAGAACAAAACAATTTTTATTTTTATAGGTTATTTTAATTATTCAATATAGTATATTAACACATCACCACTTCACGTCATAGAGTGACGGTAAGTGTAGATTAGTAATATATTTCCCGATATTCTAATGAAATAACAGTACTAATACATAAATAGTAATTAGAATATGTCAACTTATTCCAAACATTAAAGAAACTTAAAAATACGGAGGTATTAAGATCATCACAATGGAAGACTTAACACCAAAGCAAGAAGATTTCAACGACTTTGCCGGACGTATGCGGCAACTTTATGAGCCCCGGTATAAAATAATTTCGCAGCCGGGGACTGTCTTTCATGCGCAACGCGACTTCAGGCGGTGGCATCAAAAAGTCCCTTTTTTCTGGACGTACAAACCTTATTACGAACCACGGACGCTTCGCATGCCGATGAGTGACAAAGAGAAGTCGAAGTACTTATCGAACAAGATGGAGAACAACAAATACAATTGGTGGAGTTTCATTCCGGTTGCCTATCTCTTGCAGTTCAAATACACTTACAACATCTTCTTCTTGTTTACTGTCCTCACGCAATTTATTCCCAGTTGTAAGGTGGGGTATATGTTCCAGCACGTGACTCCACTCATCTTTGTGTTAACTGTTGCCGTCTTAAAAGAACTTTTTGATGAGGTGCACACACGAATTCAAGACAAAATTATTAATGATATGGTTTATATGAAATTAACGGATAAAGGAGAACAACACGTGATAAGTAAAGAAATTAAAGTCGGGGACATCATCTGCTTAAAGAAAGGATCTCGTGTCCCTGCAGATATGATAGCTCTTCAAACAACGGGAAAGAACGGAATTTGTTATGTAAAGACTACTCAGTTCGACGGAGAGACAGACTGGAAAATTAGACACACCATCCCATTCACTCAAGTCACCGATAAACAAGACTTGCCTCTCAAAAATTTCGTCGTCGACGCAGAGACGCCAAACACGGATATCAAAAAGTTTTCGGGAAGAATCAGAGAGAAGAACTTCCCTTTACCACTTGACGTCGGGTATATCCTATGGAATGGATTTACCATAGTTGGTGAGGAAGTTATTGGTTTAGTGGTGTATACTGGTAAAGAGTCGAAGCTTGAGATGGCACGGGAGGAGTCTTCGCACAAAATGGGAGTGACTGAGAAGGAGTTGAATGTGATAACTGCCGTTTGTATAGGGCTCTTATTTGCATTAGTTCTTTTGATGACCATTTGCAACTCTATTTGGGGGAGTTTCACGTTAGTAGCTTTCTTGCGCTATGTCATCTTAGCTGCTCCTATGATTCCAATATCTCTTCGAGTCAACTTAGAGTTCTCCAAGATATTTTATTCGTTGTTAATCCAATTTGATCCAAACATCCCCGGCACTGATGTGAAAAACACGAATTTGCCGGAGGCGCTAGGACGCGTCGATTACATCTTTATGGACAAAACAGGGACTTTGACTATGAATGATATGGTCTTCAAGAAGTTAGCAATCGAGAATCGCGAGAATATCACTGCGAATGAAATTGAGAAGACTCAAGCCGATGTCAACGCACTTCTCGAGAGAAGTGGAGAGGACATTTATGGGGAAACTAGTGATCCCGTCCTTCGTGTACTTTTTGGGATGGCGCTTTGCCATAACGTCACTCCCTCGTTGATGGCAAATGGGCAAATTGACTTCCAGTCGTCGTCTGTGGACGAATACGCACTTGTCACGTTTGTGAAGCAAATTGGTATCGAGTTGATAGAGCGCGACACGGAGTCTATGACGCTCCGCACTGACAAATTCACGTTGAAGATCAAAATATGTGGAGTGATTCCATTCACAAGTGAACGGAAGAGAATGGGGATAATTGTACAAATACACGACAGATACATTTTGCTCATCAAAGGTGCTGAGGTTGTGATGAAACGGATGTTACCCAACGAGTGGTGTGTTGACAAATCAACTGAGTTTGCACGGGAAGGGTTACGGGGGTTAGTCTATGGCTATCGTGTCATGACACAAGACGAATTTGACACATATGAGAGTGATCTTGCAACTGCGAATTCGTCATTGACAGAGCGTGAGGAGAAAGTGTATGACTTGTATAATAGCATTGAACACGACTTGCAATTACTTGGGGTGACCGGTGTGGAAGACAAGCTACAAGAGGGCGTCCCACAAGCAATTGAATTGATCCAACGCGCTGATATAAAGACGTGGGTACTCACTGGAGATAAAGTGGAGACTGCGACTGGGATAGCACAGACGAGTGGGATTCTCCCATATGATACCGAGGTGATATATATCAAAGGCAATTTAGATGAAGTAGCAAATATAGTACGTACAACGAATTCGATTGAAAAGGGTATTATTATAGAAGGAGAGACTCTTGAGAAGTGTTTGGACTGCTTCCCAAAGTCGTTTTTCAAATTCTGTGAAGTCTCCAAGGCGGTTGTTTGTGCGCGTTGTTCGCCACAACAAAAGACCAAAGTCGTTGTTGCAGCAAACAAGTTAGGAAAGAATTCCTGTGCCGTTGGTGATGGTGGGAATGATGTTGGAATGATCCGAGAAGCTGTAGTTGGTATTGGTGTGAAGGGACGGGAAGGACGAGAAGCTGCGCTTGCTGCGGACTTTTCCACAAGTCAATTTTCGTATATCTCAGACTTATTCTTGTGGCATGGTCGAACTGCTTATAAACGAACAGCTACGCTCTCCCACTTAATTATACATCGAGGGATTATATATACAATTATGCAAATCATATTCTCTGCAGTATTCAAATTTGCACCACTCCCATTGTTTGTTGGGTGGTATACTATTTTGTTCACAGTCTTCTTCAATGAAGTTCCTATTATGTTGATTGTGACTGATTTCGACATGTATAGAAGTTCGACGAATAAGTTCCCAGAGATATATAAACAACTCAGAGAGTCTAGGGACTTGTCTCTTAAAGTGCAGTTTCAATGGATTTGTACGTCGATATTCCAAGGTACTTTGATTATATTAGTTGCGTTGATATTGACTCACGAACAAAAGGAAATGGATACTCTCGCGTTTGCAGTATTGAACTTGGTCTTTTTGATTGACTGTATATCATGTGTTAAAACGTGGAATTGGTATATGGTGTTGGGATATATCGGCTCACTCGCGTTCATCTTTGGTATATTCTACATCCTCCCAAGTTCCATACACGACACTTCGTATATCAAAACATCGAAATTCTTTAAGGACATGGCTATTTGTATTGTCGCACCACTTTTCCCTAGAGTCTTCATGTTCTTCTTTAATCTTATTACACCACCAAAAATTGCTAAACTTGAAAGAAATACGGGAATATCATTTACGTTGTCACCAAACCCGCTCGTCGTCTTGCAAGAAAACATACAAACAAACGATACAAAATACTCATTGTTGAATTAATTCATTTTTATTCTTTTTTAAAAATAACAAATTCTATTTTATAGTATAATTTTATTATATTTTTAATACATTAATTAGTTTTTACTTATAAAGAATTTCACCTTTTATTTTTATTGATATTGTTATTTTATTGAAGCTTTATTTTGGATATGAAATAGATCAAAATGAACATCTTCTTGTTTAATTATCAAATTTAGTTTATTGACTTGAGATGCAAACATACTTGAATTAATAATTTTTGTTGATTTTACATAAACGTTTAAATGTTTTATCAATTTATAATTGCTCAAATTACTTTCATAATCAATGTTTTAAAAACAGTAAAAGTTAAGTATTGCAAACATGTTTTTTTTTGAATCATTTCAATTTTAACTTCATTTTTAATTCAAGATATTTATTGTTTTTTTTTCGATATAAATGAATTTTGCTAATTTACAACACTAATAACCATCTTCTTTTTTAATTTTTACGAGCAATCTAAAAGTAATTGTATACTTCAAAATTTTAATTAAAAGTTTCAAGTTACATAAACACAAAAACACCATTAATGTTTATCAATGAGAGTTAGAACCTATATTTTGGTTAAAAATCCACCAAAAAAATCATTGAGTAAACAGTTAATTACAATATAATTCAGAGAGTTTTGTTGTTGTTCCTTTTGTTATTTTATTGTTGATTAAAACCGAAATTTTCTGGCCCAAAGTAATGATTTCTTGAGTATTATAAAGCAAAGTATGTGAATTGATGTTATAAAATATAGGGTCACCAACAACTCCATCGCTTTCATCTCTTGTGTTCAACACGACAATTCCAAATTCAAACAACAAATCTTCGAGGAAATGAAGCGTTTCTTTTCTTTTGAGTGGCTGCATGCGGCGGCTAATTGTTTCCTCTTTGATTCCACACTTTTCCATTTCAATTGCTTTATTTTCACATATCCTTTTGACAACTTTTTTCACTTCGATTTCCTCACCATGTATTCTGATCGTTTTTACACTTTGAAATTGAGTTGTCACGTGTGACATTTTACTTGGTTTTCGGACGTCGAGTTCACAGTGTCGACTCAGTAACATGATGACTACATTTTGTATTTTTGCTTGGAGAGAAACAGCCCTCCTCGTCTTCATATGAACACATTTCTTCTTTGGATTACTTTGCATCGTTGTATTTGCTTTGGGACACATACATTTCCAGTTTATTAACTCCTTATAAACTATTCAAGCTATTTATGAAGACTTGCACCCCACCTTATATGGTTTAAAAACACAACAGCTGTTTTATTTTTAAGGTCTTATTTCTATTGTAAAAACGCAATAAGTTGTATTCCGAAAATCATTCATTTTATTAGATGTTATTATACTATAAAATAAGGACTTTTAGTGGCAATTTCATGATAAACGGCATTTCCTCTATTTTTTCCCAATAATTTCAATAAAGAAATGTGATGCTGATTGCATTTTGTTCTTTTTTATTCAAGTAATTGTTATTTGTAAGTAATAATATTGTACGTGGAGACACTACTACATAGTCAAATCATAACTACCAAACGAATTATAAAAATGTGTTAAAGGAATCATACAATTGTTCATTTTTCTCTAAAATAACGGGTTATTACTCCATACAAAAAACACCTTTTCTGTTGTTTTTTGAAAAACTCATTTAATTGAGTTAAATTTAGCATAATTACCAAAAGATACATTTTATTTCAATGGACTATTATTGCTTTATTATTTTCGACAGATTTATAATAGTGGTACCATGAGAAACATGCAATTTTACAGTGCCGTTTTCTTACCGCATTTGTGCCAAGATTTATTTTTTTCGCAATTTTTCTTTTTGCAAAATTATGGAATTGTATCTAAGTATAGAAACTGATGTTGTTTTTGGATTATTTTTTTTCTCGGATAATAATAGCTTCGACGTTTATTTTAATGCATATATAGAACGCAGAATTCCCACAAACATAGTCATAAAATATGCAACAAAAATACATTGGTCACTAAATATTGATTCTGCGTTTAGAACAATCACCTATAACCAGACATTTCTGTCAGAAAAAAATATCTAATTTGGGTGGTTTTTGAAAGTTGAACTACAAATTACTTCACAAAAAATATTATTTCAGAATAATAAATTAATCTATTATATAAAAATAGATGGACACACATTAATAGTTTACACGTTTACTTAACGTGGTACTATTTTGGTGGTTCTGATAAGATAATAATTGCATGAAGAATAATAAATATGATAATTCTTTATATGTGGTTTGTTTATAGGAATTAAAAAAGTTAATTTCAATTTATATAATTATAAATTGAACAATAAAATAAGAAATTGTCTTTATTTTTAAAATCCATAAGAACAGCTTGTTTCAAAATAAGCTAAGATTTCGCATATTCGCCCAAATTATACAAATTTTTGTCTAATTTCGTCTTTTTGAAACATGATTTGTTTTGGAGTCCAAAATTGAAATTATTTGTAAGAAAATAACCAAAAAAACACAAATATATGTTAATGGAAAGATTATTAGAATTTTTAAGACTAAGTCTAGAGAAGAAAAGAAGGAATTTATTAAAGTATCAACAAAAGTTATTTATATCAGGAATCACACGGTTAATTTAATAAATAGTAATACAAGTAGTTAAAATAAATAATAATATAATCAAACAATCTGTGACTTAAATCTGACTGTATGAAGTATGGATGTGTTTAAACCTAATACCGTTTAAAAATTATCTATTTGTTTGAAGTCAGTAATGAATTCACAAATAATGAAAATAGATTCTAAAAATAGATATATTCATGTAATAATTTGTATTTATTTTATAAGTCGATGGCCAAACAAAAGTGCTAAATTAATTACAAAGCAATATAAACAAATCGTAAATAAACAAATATTTATTTTACAAGTTGATTAATGACGACAAGATTAGTGTTCAAATTATGAATTGAATTTAAAATTAACGTTTTCTTCGATGAGTTGAAGAAAATGGAAAATGACTAAGAACATATATGATACATTTTTTTATTAATTTAAAACTTCTTTGTTTCTAATTGTTAATGAACCAAAATTGGAGTTTTTGATTTGATTAACTTTGCTTAGATACTTATTAATCATTAAAAAAACATAAAATAAGTAATTATTGAAGTACAAAAATGAATAATCATTCATAATATTCCAAAAAATAGTAAACTGTTTTTAAGAAATAAAAAGATTATCTTTTTTAATGGTTTTTTATGTCGAGGTTAAAAAACTCAATCAAACATGATATTTTTAATATACATTCATTAAATATAAAAACAAATAAAGAAATACTAAACATTGAATGAACTTTTAAAACTCTCCCTTTCTGATTTTTTGTCCTTCATTAGCCTTGAGTTAAATTTTGTGTTGGGCAAAACATATCTTTTGAAATGGGTACATTGTTTGTAGTGGATAACATGGAAGTGATTTGCTCGTTGATGATGTTGCCACTTTCTCTGATTTGTTCCATGGTCATGAACAAAACACCATTTTCGTAGATAGTGATATCTCCTTCATATCCATCAACAGTCTCCTTTTCAATAAACACCAGAAATCCAAATTCGGCTAAGATGTCTTGCAAAATTCTCATTGTTTCTCTTCTTTTAGTCAATTGAATTCTTCTTTTTGCTGTTTTTCTTGAAGTCTTTTCATTTTCCGAAAGTGCGTTTTCTTGCTCCTTCGATCTCTTTTGTATCAATTGGAGCATATTAATTTGATCAAATCGGTCAAAATTAACCTCTTTGATTTTGATGAATTGTTTGGTCTTAAACGAAGCTCGATGTGGTCTTCCAACAACCAGTGAACTATGTCTTGTTAACAAAGCAATAAAAACAGCTTGGAGATCAGATTGGATGTTCATTGATTCAACTTGTTTTTCCTTAAAGCTCATTTTTTGAGAACAGGTTGATCCTGATCTTGATCTTGGTATTGTGGTCATAGGAGAGAAACATAATTGTGAATCATCTTTTTGATAATTAACTGGGGAAGAACTGATACTGCTCATGGTGTAATTTGTTGTATAATGAAACATTCAGTTCGTTTAAATAGTCTATTCCATGAATATTTTGGTTTATTTTTATTTTAATTAAACTCCACCTTGTAAAGAAAGGGTTCGTTATGTCCATCAAATGATATTGAGCCCTCATTTTTCATTCTGTATTGTTTAAAAAACTGGTTTGAATTCTTTTTTTTGCTGACAAATATTAATGGTTTTATAATAATTCTTTTGTTATCATTAAATTGAACAAGTAATTAAATAAATTTTAAAAATAAAAAATCTTATTATAGAATTAATTCCTATTTTTCCCGACAATTTAGCCTTTTCAAATAATAAAAAAAACAAAAAATGTTTTGGTGGTTTTATTTTAAATGTTTTTACAAAAATAGAAAACTTTTTTATAACGAAACCATACCTATTTTGTTCATATTTGCTAAGAAAACCCAAACCCTTTTATTCTATTTTGACTTTCAAAATAGTTCGAAGTTCATTTCAAAGTTCAGAAAAAACATATTTATCACAACTATTCTGTAAAATGGTTTAGTTTCTGGCAGTTGCAAATAACCCCGTTTTAGTCTTTATTATAAAAGTCGAAAACCATCTTTCAATTTTTATGACTTATTTTACCCCTAATAATTAAAACAAATAGTTATATTATCCCCCAATGAAACTTGTATCTTGAATCGAAAAGTTCTTTGTCCTCCGCATTGTGAAATTAAAAAAACGAACCATAACCTTTACTTTCAAATTATTTAATTTATCATTTATTTAACAGTTTATTTGACCATTTGAGACATAAACAACCACATATTTAGCCTCGGTTATTATTTTATTAAATTTAGCAACTTTGTTTGGTAATTCATCCAAGACAAATAATTTAAAAAATTCTAATGAAAGGGGGTTATGAAATAATAGTCTTCCTTTGTTCATTATGTTCTTTTTTATTCCAAACTTATTTACGACTACTGAAACGTAATTATTTTATCGACATTTTACATCCTTCGTTGTATATTTAAACTTCTTTGAACAAAGATGCATTAATTTCGGAAAAGTGGATTGTGTTATTCATTCCAGAATAAAGCTTTTTGGAGCATGCCTAAACCATTGCGTGGTCAGGAGTATGTATTAACCATATCATACATAATAAATTCTTGGTTAAATTAAATGAAGACTTTTTGAGGTGTTTTATCTATATATAATATAATACTCAACTCGATATTATATACTACCAAAAAGACAACCACAACAAATCGATCAAATTAACACGACGCGATGATCTTATCGAGTGCGTCCACTGGGTAAGTGACTTTGATTTCCTTAAAGTTGCATTGTGTTTTCGCGTCTGGCAAATTTGATCCAAACGCTTTAATCACAAACTTCCCATCCTTTTTCCCTGCCATGACAACAACAGGGACTTTTTTCATTGAGTTAAAGAAGGTGTGGAGTGCATTGACCTTTGGTTCTTGGACCTCGTCTCCAATGGTGAAATACCCAATGACAAGTTCTTCTTCAAAATTTTTGGTATGACTTCCAACCGATTTAATGAGCTCATTCTCATCAATTAAAAACGAAGATCCACTCAACGGAATAACATCGGCTACATCGCGAAAATTGCCAAGTGTCTTCTGCCCCGTTAATAACCCGCTCATCACATTCCCGCTTTTGCGGTTATACATATCGATCAGTTTCGACACTACTATGGGAAACACTCTGACTATCTCCTCAGCCATGTATTCTCTATATTTTGCAGTTTAAAGGGTTATAGTTTTCATTAGTTCTTTTTATTATATTTTTTTAACTATTAATATCGTTGTGATGGGAAGTGCGGTGTTTCTCAAAAAAACAGGGTTTCTTCTTAACTTCATCAAGTCCCTCCTTGAATTTGTTTTACTATTAGTTAATGACAAATTTTATTATAAATAAAGTATTTGTTGCGAATGTGAGAATAGTAAAACAAATGGTTTTGATATGGTAAATTAGTGGTAAATATATTCATAGAGATGGTTCAAGTAATAGTAAACGTTTGTTAAGTAAAGTGAGTCGCCGATATAATTCGAGTTTCTTTGCGTTGAGAGACTCCACTTGACCGTCGCCTAATATCCTCAAAACGTCCATTTTTCGTTTCTGTGAAAGGACTGAATATATTCGAAGAACACGTGTGATTTTTTGTTGTGATGTAGGAACACGTGGCTTTTTTTCTTTATATACTTTGAGTATACTTAACTCAAACGTTTTGTCTTCTTTTTGTTGTTGTGCTAACTGAGAAAATGTGATTGCATGCGTTAAAGGCGGTTTGGTGACGTTTTCGTTTTGTTCACCTTTCCAAAATATATTTGCAATGTGCTTTATCCACTCCATTAAAACAATTATCTCCTTTTCATAGTTTTATAGTTTTAACTTTTAATTCAACCAATTGAATTTATTAAAAATATAATAAATTATACTATACTTGAATTGTTCTAATTTTAGAAAATAGCCAATTACATAATTTTGAATTTTACTTTATAATATAATATATTATAAAATATTATAACAAAAATTTGATAAATATAGACTGACATGTTTTTATTGTTAAGACTAACATAAAATGCAATCAATAATCAATTTATGTTATTTTTTTAATTTATAATTTTAGTTTAACATTAAAACTCTGTGTTAAAATATTCATTTAAATACATTTCTATTCATTAAAACTGCCCGAATTACTATTTGAAGTAATCAATAACCACTTTCATAGTTTTTAAATAGACGATTCTGTTTCAAAATAAAACTAAAGATATGCATTGTGTCTGTTATCACCATAAACTTCGTTAATAAAAGAGTTTGTAGACTGTATATTCCCATTGTTTGTTGTTCACAATGAACATGTTACTTGTATTTCTCTTTGTAAATATGATCCACTCACAACCTTACCACATTGACCATCCATCTGAAGGATTGGCTCTAACCGAAAATCCAACTACTACACCAGCTAATGAACTTTTTATTGATCAACAAATAATCGATCAGATGTCTTCAATAGTAAATTTTGGTGATCTCTATGTCGCCAATCTTCATCTTTTAAGTAATCGTCTCCGTCGTTTCCGTATGATATTTGGCTTCGACAAATTTGTTCTGGTATCTAAGATTGAGGAGATGGAATTAAAAACAGTCGAATTCTTTAGTAAAATAGTTGACTCCAAAAGTTGTACAATAGATGAAGTATTAACTTGGGCTGAAGAAGTTCGTACAATGTATGATATGTCTAACAGAGGAATGCGGTATCGATTCTATCTCAGAGAGCTCCCTTTAATGTTCAGAAAGATATATGCTTCATCAATGATGCCTTTAAAAATTAAAGAGACTCTATCACTTCAATTAGCACTTCGTGTTGATTACCATCAAGAGCTCTTTTACATCATCATGTTGATGTTAAAGACAACACAACTTCACGACAAAATACCACTTATGAAAGCTTCAGAAGCTATTGAAGACTTCATAAGAGAACTAGTCTCAATTGATAACAAATTTGGATTTGATATTATGACGATCAAAGCTTCTGCAATGCGTTCTGACTGGGGTGTAGCTCGTGGATTTAATCGTGGAATAGCACCAGAAGGAACCACATTGTTTAGTAAATAAACTCAAAACCATTAAGTTTATTATAAAAACTATAAATACGATATAAACTATATAGACAAGAAATACTTTTAAGACTCAACACCTTCTTGTAATAGACATTTGAATTCTATTTTCTATTTATATCATAACTTGTTTTTTAAATATGAAATTATATAATCATTTATTAGTAATTATCAAATTGAAATATGTATAGTTATAGTATAATTCTTATACTATACATAAAATATTTACTACAATAATACTATTATTATATAGTTTCATATTTTAATTATATATTAAATAGTATAATTATTATACAATAATTAGATTGTCCATACTAAGGTAGTAAGTCACTTATTCTTTTGGTAACAAGCTCTCCTTTGCGTTTTTCAACAAGTTCCAGTCTTCTTGGAGTTTTTCGGGGTTGTCGAAATTGTTTTTGAACATTGCCAACATCGCCCTTCTAACTTCCAGCTTTTCCGTTTTGAGACCCGCCTTTTCAAGCTTTTGTGCGAGTTCTGGCATCTCCTTGTTTTGTATTTGGGACTTTATTGACAAGACTTGGCTGACTTTCAATTTCTGTTGCTTGACGTTCATGAGTAATATGTCGAGTTGTGCGTAGTCCATGTTGTATTGCATTTCATGTAACTCAAATTGGTGCTGTATTGTTACAACATCACTTTGACTTGACGTGACACTTCTATTCCCCCATCCCTTTTTCATGCTATCAAGAACACTTTCAAAGTTATCAGACAACATTTGTTCGGGTTTAACACTCGTCATATATTGTTCATCAAAATTATATGAAATCTTTTCAATAGTACACTTCTCTGTTTTCATCTCATAAAAAGCGTCGCACTCAATATCTTCTGCCTTAGTCTGATCAAAGACCAACTGTTTGTCACTCGGTCCATAGTTTTCCGCTCTCTCCAAATAAGGCACTTTGTTGTTCCCGTCATGCCATGACGTGACTGGTCCGAAGCAACACAAGTACTTACTCAATTTGATATACAACTCCTCATACTTTTCTTCTGGTTTTAATTCAACAAGTCCAACACCAGTGTGATAATTCTGAAGTTGATAGTCTTCACCATAAATTTTATTGTTTTCAAATATCACCAATTGCCCTTCAAAGGGTTTTTCTCCATTTGGTAACTTAATACACTCACTTGCTAAGACGTACTTCTCGGGGAAGGCTCCATAGTTATTCATAGTAAATTGCTGCGGTGGAATCACACAATCGACTTCGACAAATTTGTTAGAGTCATACTCCTCCATTAATTGATGATCACTCTTATTCTTTAACTCCATCTTCTTCGCTAGATAGCCAGCACCTTCTAAACATACAGTCTTGGCATTAATAGACATGTTATTTGCGACTCTATATTTACTCGACAAGTTCTCTATTATTGTCTTCTCGACAAAACTGTTTTTGTGCATCCCAACAACACACAGAACAATGTCTTTGTCCTCTTCTATTGGTATCCCAACTTCTTTCTTAATAGCTCTCCCAGTTTGAATGACACTGTCGACTAAATTGGCTATTGAATTGTCCTCATTAATAAAAAGATTCTCGACTTCTTCTCGACTGAAATTGATGTAATTGTCTTCTTCGTCTTTAACAAACGATTTGCTGACATTGACATCACTAAACATATTGATAGCGTCGTAGAATTCATCAACTCTTTTCCGCATTTTAAAATTCCAGTCATCAACATCGTCACTTTCTAATGGACTCTTCAACGCCATTTCACACAGCCGTCGTGCAAAATGTTGTTGTCCCAATTGGAGTCTGTCCATATAAATTTTTGTGACTTTTGTAATAGAAATATCAAAGAGTGAGACGGCGGTGTATCTATCATCCAAATTAATAACAACAACCTCCCAGTGTTTCTCAAAGGAATTGTGTTCGAACATGCGTGGGATTTCTATCTTAGCGTAATTGAAGGCGCATGCTATGTCGTTTGTCACTATCCTGCACACATCCATTCCATTCTTTTTGAACGCAAGTGATACTACGTCTTTCAGAAGTTGGTCACAGCCTTCTGGTATTGTGACTAAATATGATATCGCTTCTAACCCTTCATTACTTAATATTTGAGTAAGTTTGTTATTCAACTCGCAGACCATGACTACCCACAACTCAAAGACGTTTGTGACAAATTTACGGGTCGTTTCATCTCTATTAATTTTAATCCCCAATTTCTCTGTATCACATAGCCCAGACAAACACTGTTTCTGCTTCATCGCATCGCCAAACACATTGATTTTATTATCAGTAAATGAGATCGCAAAAGGAATCGGTCTCATCAATTCAGTCTTCACATTGTTAGTTTGGTAGTATGACGCTCCAACGTGGGTATTAGTAAAGCAAATGGCTACAACTCTTTTCATCTTCTTATTTTCAGTTCAATGTTTTACTAGTCATATCCTTTTTTTACCTTGAACCTTAATGATGTTTATTTTTTTTGTTTCTCTTTAATTTGTTTTATTACTATATTATATTATACTATACTTTTATTATTAGTTTTATATATTACTTCATTACAAGTTTCTATCCAATAAAAATGTAGTTGAAATATAATAATATATTATTAAAAGTTGAACTAATATATGACTTTTTCTATTAATAATTATATTATAAAGATTATTTATTAATAATAAGTATTAATTTAAAAACTAATTATAATAACCATTAATGGCAATTTATTATAAACTAACCTGTTTAACTATAAGAAAACCCAATAACTATTTTTTAGTCATTGAACAGAAGTACCCAATCTCAAAAGATCTTGAAATATATAATTGAGGTTTAAAATTACAATTTACAACTAATAAATAGTTCCAGTGGAAAAGGAACTAACAATTCAAAATGACTTAAATACTTTCAATCATTGTCTTAGTGTTTATTGTGCTTTTTGTTTTGCTTCTTGTTTTGCTTTTTGTCTTCTTTCTTTTCGACTTTTTTGTCTTCCTTTTTCTCTTCTTTTTTGACTGGTTTCTTCTCCTCCTTCTTTTCAACCTTCTTCTCTTCCTTTGGGACTGGTTTTTTCTCTTCTTTTTTCTCTTCCTTTTTCTCAGCCTTCTTCTCTTCTTTCTTTTCGACTTTCTTCTCAGCCTTCTTCTCCTCTTTTGGTTTTTCTTCTTCCATCTTCTTTGCTGGAACGAACTCACCGTTCTGATTTTCTTCTTCAGAAGAATCATCTTCTTCAAGACCTTCCATACCATCATCAGCGTATTGAGTGGCAAGTACATAGACAGTGCCTTTGCCTTCACAATAGAGTTTTGCGTCTTCGCCATAAATTGGAATTTCAAGAGAATGTTGTGGAATTTGTTCTGAAAGTGTCGCTAAGAGGATCTTGACGTCTTTCTCGCCTTCCTCGTCTTTTGTCTGTAAGAAGAGTTTTGTAGTCTCTTTGCCTTCGAGTGCAAGGTGGTGAATAGTAATTTCTCCTTCATTTGGAATGTCGACTGGTTTGGTGTTAACTTCAAAGTGTAATGTGGCCATTGTTCTTTGAAGTTTGTCATCACCTTTTTATTCTTCTGAATTATTGGAGCAACGTGTCACTCTTAACCCTTTTTGAGTGTCATTCTGGTCTGCATATAGTTTATATTATTATTAATGTATTATAATTATTAATTTATTCATATTGAATTGAAAAACAAGTTTGACGTATCAACACGTCGGTCTGTTTGTACCAATAATGATATATAGTAATTTATAACAATTTTGTCATTAAGTATAATTCATTAAAATAGATTTTTAGGGTTTGTAATTAATCTAATTATTGTATTTGATTTTTTTTTCATTCAGTTGTTAAAAAAAACTTGAATTTTGAATTTATAAAATACATTATATTTATTATAAAGAGCACCAGAAAACTGTCGTACAGCAGAAAATAGTCGTACACATGGTTTTAAGGTTTTTTTCTGTATAAAGTCGGGTTTTTATTTTTTCAAAACCCAATTTTTTTTCTGATTGTTTAGTCAAATTTTATACGTGAAAAAATATTCCCGATTTTTTGGTTTTTTTGATACTAAAATCACAAGTGTACGACAATTTTCTTGCTGTAAGACTATTTTCTGTTGGTCTTTATATGGTATTAATTATGTCATAATATAAATTTAAACTCACTTGAAACATTTTTAGCACTGAGTCAGTCTTTTAAAGTTATAAGAAAGAAATGGCTACAATTATGTGAAAACAACGGGCATTAGGTTAATTGTGAAAAAAACTGAAACAATGAAATAATTTTCTAAGAGTGGTTACTCGAAACATTACATTTCTTACAGTTTGATGAAATGTACTTGATAAAGTTAAAATAATGACTCTCTTTAATTTGTTTATATTTAATAAGAATTCCATAATAATGACTTTTCTTTTATTTTTGTTCTGTTTTTGAATGAACAATTAATTGTTTGTGAAACATTAAAAGTACTCAACAAAACCACAATCAATAATGGACAAATTGTTTGTTTTCACACACCATTTCAATATTTGTTAGCTAATTAGAATGGCTAGACGAAAAAAATAATAACACTTTTATTTAAAAATTAATGAACCCATTCGAAGCAACAAGCAAAAAAAACTTGTGTATAAATCGTTTTGATTAAATAATACGATGTGTATGAAATTTTTACATTGTGTATTATAAACTAACAATTTTTATTTCAAATACAATATGCCAACCCAGTAGATTTTTAGGTATTATTTGTGAATTTACATGTTTATTTTTTTTCCAAAGAAACACTTTTTTATTTTGCCTGGTTTAGATCTGGAATGCCATCCATAATTAATTCGTCTAAAAAATGATAAAATAAATAACGACATTTTATTTAATAACAACTATTACAATAACAATTGTTTTACTATTTGTTAATAGCATTCTTTAACTACTACAAATATCAGTTTCCTTTATAAATTGTTTATTACGAACTTTTCCTGATTTTTGTATATCAAAAGACCAAATAGAACGAGAGACAACTTTTTTTAAACCAATAAACACAATTCTGCCTATTTTATTCAAAACTTCAAACAATCTTTTTGATTGTCCTTACGACGTTGTAGTTATAAGGACAAATTTCCTGATTTTTTACGTGTATATCATTTAAAACTGTTTTCACAAAAAAAGGTTTTCTGTTCTTTTCAAACCCTCTTGAAATTTCAAACAATTTTTATCATATAGCCAATGACGTGTATTTCCTGATTATATATATACATTCATTTGCCACAACTTTTATTCTTTTTGTTTGAAATAAAAACAACTCTCACAATTCTATTTTCAGGTGACACTCGAAATTGTTGTCAATTGTGGCCTACGAAAGAGTACAATTGACTATTTTGTCCTACCATCTATTTTACTATAATATTATAACAAAATAACCATATTAATATTATTCAAAGACCAATAGAAAGGAAAGTGCCATTCTTTAGTGTGTATTATCATTGTTTCGTGTAAAACTACTCTATTTTTGTCTTTGATGACAAAATTATGTCACAAAATCAGTTTTACTCCGGCAGTCGAAAAATAACTTTTAAAAACCCTTTTATCTTCTAAAACCATATGTCGTCTTGTGTAGTGGTGTGTCCAACTGATCTCCACGACTCTTCTCTTAGGAGCTTGAGCCCCTTCCCAAAAGTTACGTTACATTCACCACCCGACTCCGACTTTTTAACTCCTATCATGCCAACCACTTTTAAAGCAAAGAGTCCTTTAGTCCTTAAAAATGCAACTGAAATGGAGAAGAAAGGCAAAGTGCACCCGATCGTTCCAATATTCAAGAAAGGTGCCTTCCTCAAAAATTTGAATGACAAGACAATAGAGGACTCTCCACTTTCTGATCGAGTCAAGGTCGAAAGACCTTCATTTTCAACGTCACCTCTCATGTCAAAAATGAAGAACCCATTTGCACATATGAGAACGAGCTCAGCAACTTTAGAACAATCCGCAGTCAAAGTGGGGACGATTGGAGTATCACCAGCAACTACTCCTTGGGCCGTCTATACACCAGTTCATGCAAAGAGTGAACACAGTGCAATTGATGATGTCAATCGAATGAAAATGACGAATTTCACTTCGCGCAGTCGTTATAAATTATCGCGCAGTGCAGAGTTGGAGAAGAACAAGATGAAAAGGAAGGTTGTACCTCAAGTGATGTTCCCCAAGTTAAAAGAGTCACATTTGTTCGATGAAGTTGTCGTGAAGAAGAATGACGACTTCTCCAACTTAACATTCGCGTTGTGCCACTTCGACCAAATAAAGAACGAACAGAAGACAACGATGAAGATCACTTCGTTCGCCGAAGAGGACAACAACGTCTGTTTTATGATGTAGAGTCTACTTATTTATTCTAATTTATTTATTATTAAAGTACTATTGTATTGTATATGTTTATACCATTGAATTATAATAATTAAACTAATATTAACTTACTAGATGTTTGTGTAATACAACAATGGAGTGAATTGAAAAGTAACAAAGTCTTTTCAATTGACGAAATGCCCATCAGCTATTCTTCTCTCCAAGATTTTAGTTTGGTTCAGTCGACCACGTTGGTCATGGAAGACCATGTAATCTCCGTAATGCGTTCCAGTGTTTCCGCCCCACTTTTCTGGTGTCACAAAATAGAGTTTGTTGTTAGTAGTAGTGTAGTATTTGTATAGAAAATGGCCGAAGCCGGGGTCTTCCAGTGAGCTTGGAGCAATAGTATAATAGTTTTCCCAAGACGCAATGAAGTCGATGATATCACTCGACCATATAGAAAGATATCCGGCTGGGAAGAAGAAGTACTTTTTGATGTTAATAGCGAGTGGGTCGTAGTATTTGTTCTTTACATTTTTGTTAGGGCGGTGTCTTACAAACTCTCCGACGACGGTGTTCTTCTTAGGGAGACTGACTAAGAGATCGGCAAGGGTGTCCACTGTCACAATGATTTCGTCGTCGACTCTGGAGTAAAACAGATAGTCTGGGAAGAGTGTTTTTGCTAATATATAAGCGTTGACATTCTTCTGTTGTAGTGTGAACCAGTGCTCTTTCAAATTTGGCATTTCAATGTAATACAAGTCGTGATATGTGTTATTCAGACTCGAGACTATTCCAGTCATATTCTTCTTCTCGACTGTTTCCCTCACTAACACAAAGATGCACTTCATCCCAAATTCGTTTTGGTACTGGGGATTACACCATGTCTGTCGTGTTTTCTCCACGTGATGTAACTTACTAGGAATGGTGTGTATGATAGCCAAAAAGAGTTTATCGGGGTAGAACGTGTTCTTATAGTGTTGAGGTATGCCAAGACTTTCGTTCAAGTCGGCGTACGAGTAAACGTCCACTTCATCGGGGTAGTCCTCGTCAACACTAAATTTGTCGCCATAGAAACTATTGACGTATTGCCGTTGATCATTTGTGATATACTTCCCCAACACACACAAGAAACTCAATAACACAAGAATAGCCACGTCCCTTGCTCTTTTCATTGTGTGTTGCATTGTTCAAGTTGTCTCTTTAAATCTACCTTGTTGACTTTACTCATCATTTCCTTCTCTTTTATTAGTCTCTTTATAAATCACTGTATTACAATTAATTAACTATAATACAGTGATTATTATAATATTATAATTATATTATAATAGTATTTGATAAACAAACTAGAGTTATGGTAAAAATAACTAATTAATTTTTTAGAATCAGTTTTTTCCAGAAAACTCGTCTTAATTTGTGAAACCCTTGTTTTTGGGAGAAAACAGTTCGACATTTTAAGTCGACGTCCTCAAACTTGCACAAGGGTTTAAAGAACTTGAAAATGCGCGCAATAGAATGGACCCCCATTACGACTCGGACTCTGACTCGTTGAGTGATATGGATGAGGAGGACGACGTCGAGGACGTCAGTGACTATCGGTATGGTGGGTATCACCAAGTGCGGTTGAATGAAGTCTTCAATAAGAAGTATGTAGTGAAAGAGAAGTTGGGGTGGGGGCATTTTTCGACGGTGTGGCTGGTAGAATACACCGATCAAGTGACTGGGGCGACGTGCAATGGAGCGATGAAAGTCGTGAGATCAGCACAGAAGTACACTGAGACTGCCAAAGACGAGATCGAGATCTTAAGGAAGATTTCCGTGAACGATCCGAATATGAGATATTACTGTTTACATCTAATCGACTCTTTTCAACACCGGGGATTGAATGGAATTCATATGTGTATAGTTACACAAGTTGGTGGGTCGAATTTATTATCACTCATTCGACTATATCACTACAGGGGAATCCCTTTGGACATCACTAAAGAGATTTCTAAACAAGTGTTAATAGCTTTGAACTACTTACACACCGTCTGCGGTCTTATTCACACCGACTTGAAACCAGAGAACGTCCTCTTGAACTTCATCATCGATATCAATCACGTGAAGAAAAGATCAATGGTCCCCCCAGCACAGAACATTCAAGTGATGCTTGCTGACTTCGGTAATGCTAATTGGGTCAATGAACGATTCACTAATGACATCCAAACGCGACAATATAGATGCCCAGAAGTCATGTTGGGATTACACTGGGGATGTCCCGCTGATATCTGGTCACACGCGTGCGTCATATTCGAATTGCTGACGGGAGACTTCTTGTTCTCTCCAAAACAGACAATGCAATACAGTAAAGTCGAAGATCACTTTGCGTTGTTCATCGAGTTACTCGGACCACTCCCGAAAGAAATGATTGACAAAAGTCCTGTAAAGAGAAAATACTTCACGTCCGATTATGTACTGAAAAAGATCCCAAACACACACCTCAAATTCTGGGCACTCAATATGGTGTTGACAGAGAAATATAAATTCCCACAGACCGAGGCTACGAGAATCGCAGAATTGTTACTTCCTATGCTTAGATATAATGAAAATGAAAGAGCAACGGCGGCCCAATGCCTCGAAAATAAATGGTTTTTGTAAGTGTCTATTTGTGTGGTTTTCGTTGTCTGCTTGTGGTACGCTTGTTAGTTTTAATTATAATAAAGTATAGTAATACTTTTAACGGAATCTAGTTTTCGTTCTTTCTTTATATTATAGAGAAAAAAATATGAAAACAAAAAATGGTCTCCGATATAAGTAGTATTATATCAAATAATTTAATTTATTATTAAAATAATATAGTACAAGCCAATAAATGGAAGTAAAAAACTACGAAATAAAAAGTCCAATTTATCTAATATTTTGGGATGAAAGCCACTTTCATCCCAAAAGTTACTTTTTTACTATTGGATAATAGTTATTTTATGCAGAAATGGGAAACTGGTTCAGAAAAAAAAAAGAATAGGTTAAATATAGATACAAAATACACTTTCAAATATAATTAAAGATATAGTTAATTTATAGTACTATCTAGTTGTTTTAGTTGATGCGCAAAATTGAAAGTTGAACTTAATAAAGTAATGGTTGTCTCATTTCTCATACTATTGATATTGAACGTTTTTGCACTCGATGGAGTTGTCAACGAATATTATAAAGCGGAATTCATCGACACCAAGGTACAATACACTTTCGATTTAAACGGAGAAACACACTGGTTCAATTTGTTTAACTGCGAAGAGGGAAATTGTTTGTCTTTATTGTGTAGCAGTGGATGTGATACATTAAATACAATGTACTTTTTATGATAATACACTAATAAACAGACTTGGCGATAACCGTACAAACTTATACCGCTGGTAATATTCTTTCCACCTCATACACAATCCCAATTGCGACTTCCGTGACGCAACCTATAGAAAACTCTTATAAAACGTTTGTTGTGGTAAACAATCATTTACAAATTTAAAACATTAATAATACAAAGAAATATTAAAACTGATTTGTAGAGTCGTGTCGATAAACGAGTGCAGTAAACAATTAGCTAAATACTGTGATGGTGTCATTCAAATGAGTACATCCCGAAGGTCATTCATTCAAACTTCATTTACGCCGAAAGTTGCGACTAAGTCGTTGACCCAAACAGACGACCCCGACAAAACACACAAGACCGGAGAACACCCCGTGTATGCAATGTGGGACTTGTTGAGAGACAATGACTCTCAGATCATCACAAAGGAAAGCACTCAATTTAAAATGAAACTGTTGGCTAACACTGAAAACCCAATTATGGGATCAATCTGTTTACTCGCTAATGTCGCGGAGATGTCAACGAATTCATATGTGATGTTCCCACAAGACAACATGAGTCTGGCGATGATTAACTTCAACTTACCAAACACAAAGAACCAATATCTGTTATATGTGACGGCGGAGATACCGGGCTATTTCCCTTACTATTACAACTACATCGTTGTGCAGTCTGCTGCAGTTGAGTACTTTGTGTTGCTTGCGATGTGCGTCTTTATGTTGTTCTAAGTCACTTCTTTTTGTGTTATTGAATTACAGATATACGTAATAAACAAATGAATGCGATAGATCACTTATATACGTACACACAGAATTGAACTTGTGTCGACCGTTTGCCATCTTCCTCAAACTGCAAGTAAAAGTAATACCACCCACCAAGTCGCCACCACGAGTGGATTTGGTTTTCTAAAGTAATGGTGTGTGTCCCAGGCTTTGTAGGAGTGTTTATTTGTGTACTCAATTCTACATCACTGAAGTAATACCGAGCCGCACAAGATTTTGCAGTTTTCCAGGAGAGTGATAAATCCTGCAAGCCATAGTTGCTTGTGAATGTCACATTGATAGTGAAATTCTCATAAATTTTAAATGTCGGTGGGTTGATTTCAATTTTGTCAATTATAACAGCACCTTGGTCGACATTGAAAATGGTCATTGTGTAATCAACTTCACTACCGTATGATAGAACAACCAACAAAATGATCAACATTTACACAACTGAGTTTTGTTCATCATCCTTTTCAATAAAATATAATGAAAACAAAAACCACAAAGTCCGCACAGAGGTTAAAGTAATCACTCATCTTCATGGAGGTCTTTATTCTCAAAGAATCAATGTTTTTCAAAAAATAGTCAACATTACACATTGACCATTTTTTACTCGTTATATATCATAACCGAAACTGGAGTTAAAAACTAACAAATTTGTTCTATTATATAATTTGTTTTCCAATTTTATTTAAACTTCCCTGATAGTTTTTTTATAATTATTTATAGTATATATACCAATTATTATTTTTATTGAATAAAAAAAATAAAAAAAGAAAAAAAATAAAAATAATCGGTTTTATTATAATAACAAATAACAAAAATCTATTTTTAATTTATGTAAAATAATTATTTGTCGCCGAATTATAACAATTTTTATTTGTAGAAATAGAATAATTCTGTTAAAAAACTATATATTATAGTATTATATATCATAAATATAATAAATTTAAAAATTATTGTTATTTAAAATATTTTATCGTTTTTGTTTTTAATTGAAAAAAAGAATTAAAACAATTGTTAATTATTAAATTACAAAACAACTATTATATAATTAAAAAAAAAAACTACACTATTTCGAAAAATACAGTATTGTCATTTCGCCTTATGCAAAACTGTTCCTTATGTAAGTCTTTTGAATAAATTTTTTAATTAAATTAAACCATTTTATAATTTAATTAAAAATTATTGTCATGTTTTATATTGTGTTGGTTCGAAATTATTAAACTATAAAATAGTTTAACTGAATTAAATTTTATTTATAAAAGTCTAACATAAGACTTAGTGACTGTTATTTGTTTTATATTATTATCACAATCACAAAAAAAATATTTCTTATATTTATTTTTTTTCATTTTTTTTAAAGTCTTTTGATGATTAATTATATATTAATAATATATTAATAATATATTAATTATATAAAAAAATTGATATAAAAAATGATTATTTTAGTTTTGATTTCTATTTATAAAAATTAAAAAAATTAAACATTAGAAATAAACATGGTTCTTTAATCGGTCATTCGTTAATTATAAAAATTATTAAATACTATTTATCTTTATTATATACAATAAAAAATATGACACATAATTAATATATTCTATAGTTAATTTTTCAATAATAAATACTAATAATTAAAACTACTTAAATTGTCTGGAATAAAGTCAACTTCTCAAAGAAAAAATTAAATATGTACTTAATATAGAAAAAATAGTTAAGACTTAAAAAAAAAAACTATAAAAACTAAACCATAAATTAACCATTTTAACATGATGATATAAATAATAAAAATACTTTTGAAGGTGAAAAACCAAAAATAAATAAATCTCATTTTTTACTAATTCGCAATTATTAAAAACTTGATACTTTTTAATAATTTATTATTTAAACTTTTTTTTCTAAAATGACACAAACCTGTCAAAAACGTTGTTTATTATTAATAGTTGTCTGTCCATTTTTTCAACCAATAAAAATGAAATAGATCGAGAAGTTGTATCTAACACCCCATAATCATTGTTTTACTTTAAAAAAAAATTAACATTTTTACTCAATTCTTTTTCTTTTTAAACATTTTCATTATATTTTTTTGTCTTGCTATCTAATTTATTAGACTCTGATAAAAAATATTCAAATAATTATATGTTGATTAAAAATTTACTTATAATTATTTTATATCAGAGCAAAAATGAAAGCGAGCGTTAATAAAAAATCTGACAGTTACTGCGAAAAAAAAAGATGGTGTTTTGATTCAATAAACACGAAAAAAATCCATTTGAAAACACATTTTAATTATTAGGTTAAATTTAAAATACAACAATACTGTATTATTCAATTCAAAAAATATATTAGGTAAATGATTGACTATAAAAGCATAATTCCAGGCATTTCATTGAATAACAAAATCTTTATTTTTGGTTGTTTCACCTAACGGCTGAAGCATATTTAGTTTGTTCACTTCTCCCAAATCTTCCACAATATTTAAGTTGAATCAAATATCGAAATTTTATTGACCTTTTTACTTTTCGAATTATTCGTTCATTAAACACATCTTGTTGCCACATTTAATACTAACATGAACCACACCACCCCAGAGGAAATGGTCTCTTTTTTCGGTAAAGTGGCCGAGTACCCACACGACTCTGCTTTTTGGCAAGAGTCATGGACTTCCCCTGTGAAGAGTCGGAAAGGGTCCTATTCCCTTGACAATTCTTTTTCCTATGAAGACCCATCGGACCAGTTTGTTATTTATTAATTGTTTTAGACAATATCGATATTTTATAATATAAAAAAGACATTAAAACACACGAAATAAAAGCATTTAATGATTTTCCTCTGAATGAAAAAAATGAATCATAATATAGACTTTACATAGTGAAATCATGTAGTGTTATTGAAGCAAATAAAAGCATGTTGGACAATTACATATCTTCCCTGATGTACTGTCAACAAAATCCGTTTATCACGAAGTATAATATTATCTCAATAACACCCAAAGAAACAATACTCGAAATCGAAATGAACATTTTGGGAGTGAACAAAGTCGCTGTTTGTCTGAAGCAGACTGTGATCAATGTGAGCAACAATAAATCCTTCCACATCTTTTTTAGTATCACTGACAATCGATCCAAAGTGATCCCCTTTCGTGATAACCAATACTTGTGCTTGTGTTACATCTTCGAACGAATGACTACACAATACGTGAAAATAACTGCCGTTTCTAAAGTTATGCCAATCCCTTGGTGCCATCCAACCGACGTCAAACAAGGTCTCCGACGACAAGCAACCAACGACATCCGTATTTTCAAAACCCTCACAGAGCTTCCAACCCTAATTAATGTCGAAGTCCCCGAATACGTTATATTAGAGAGAAAAGGGTTTGAAGCAATGATCCAGAAAAGGACTGTTGGGTCTGTTCTCATACAAACGGAGGATTACACCATCACAGAAATTTCAAGACTGAAAGACGAAATCAATTTATTTTGTTCTGGCATGTTCCGCAAACGTGTTGCAATGCACTTGAACACCGACACGTTGATTGAATGTGTATTCAAAAACAGTTTCAGACTCGTCGAATACTCCGACAAAGACATTGGATTTTTCGTGTTAAAGAACCCTAACAGTCAACACGGCAACATCACCGACAAGATCAACGTCTCCGCATTTTATTACTCGGACGAGTGTGTTCTGTACCATTTGAAATCGACTGCGCACTTCCTCGACAACAACGAAGAGTTCAATTATTCGTTCTTTAATAACGCTTATGTGATGATCTTAAAAGACATCGACGGGTATTGGAACGTCCAATTCGAAATCGATTTCACAGAGAAGACGTCTGGCCTCTCCTTAAACACTATGAAGCGGTTTTTAACAAGCATCAAAGAAAGTCTTGGGTCTTCCAACGCCGAGATGACACATCGCCTCCCCACACTCCAATTCTCTGTTCGTGAAAAGTCCAAGCCAATCGGTCATTCCTTCTTTGTGACTATGCAAAGGTCGTCCCTCATCCAAATCTGTTTGATGCTGAGCAAAAAGGACGTCAGAAATTTACGAACGACGTGCAAGCAGATGTACTCCCTTCTGTCCAATATGACGACTTCGGAAGACGATATGGAGGCGCAAGACAAACGGACGAAGACTGATGAGAGTCTTGAGAAACGAAGTCGCAACGATGAAGAGAGTATTGAAGAGTTCTATGACACCACGCGCACTTCCACAACATCAAACGGCCACGAGATCTCTCGCAACTTCATCCCAAATTACGGCAATTTCCCAACACAGTCAAAGACGTTACAAATCGAAGAACTTAAAGAGGATTTGACTTACGACTTCTCCGTGGCTTCCACCTTTCAAACGGAAATTGAAGAAGAAAATGACAAGAAGGACATGATCACTATCAATGCGCACAACAACGTGGTGCATTCCGTTGGGTTAAACACAGAAGGCGACTTCTTTGTGTCTGGGTCTTCTGATCGGAAGGTCAAAGTCTTTGATTTGAACGCTAACCCAATCACTGGCCGGGGATTACTTGGCCCAAATGGGTCAGTCATATTCACTGCGTTTGTTGAAAACACCATCTGCGTCGCATACAAACGAGGCACAGTAAAGTACTTCATCGAAGATAATAAAGAGCCTGTCATCTTCGATTCGATCGCGGGGAGAATCGACGGGTTCTTTCCTATGAAGAACTACGAGTTCATGACGTGGAGCGACAACGTCCAAATAGTGAAGTACCAAAACTTCAGACAAAACATCATTTGTTCGTACGAGGAACATTCGAAGAAAGTGACGGCCGCATGTCCATTCAATGAATTCACCTATTTATCAGGATCTTCAGATAGAACACTCCATTTGTGGGACATCAGAGACAAAAAACGCATCGCAGAGTTAAAACCACATAAAAGTGGTGTTGTTGGTATCAACAAATTGAACCAAATATACTTCTCAAGCTTCGGAAGTGAAAAGGTGTTGTGTGTATGGGACAGTAGAATGCTCAAATTGCCTGTTATCTCTCTTGAAAATGGCGTCGAGGCATTATCGACGGATCAAGACCATTTTGTGGCTGCTTGTAGTGATTCCGTTGTTAAAGTGTATTCAATGAAGACTTATAAAGAAGTTTGTCAGTTGGCGTGTAATGTTCCAGAGTCGTCGTTTACTGCTGTTGATATGAAAAATAAGGTAGTAGTATGTGGGACAAAAATTGGAGTTGTAGCTGTTGGCAAGGTATGCTATTAAGTTTATATAGTTATTGTTTTGCTCGATTTTATTTATATATTATATAAATAAAATATATTATAATATATTATAATATTTATAATATATTTATAATATAACAAATAACAAGACATAATATACATACAAAATTAATCAACAAATAAATCCCCTTTTCTCTCTTCTTTGCGTGGCGTCACAGCAAAAAAGTATTCACTAAAATTCCGTTTTAAAAAAGTCTCAACTTTCATAGTGTTTTCAATGTAGTTTTCACTAATTGTTTTAAAGTACTTTTCTATTTCTTCTTTGAGTGAGTCGACGAGGTCTTCGTACTGATTTTCTCCATTTAAGACTCTTTTACTTTTTTCTATATAATTCTTTATAAGAGAAGTATAAGGTATCACGGGGTTAAAACCTTGTCTTGGGAAGGTTCCGAATGTTCCATTAATTTTCTTTTCATTCATCAATTTGAGATACTTAGTTTTAGTCAACTCGAAGTCGTCGAGTGCTTTTATATATTGGAGTGCTTGTTGTGTGGTCATTGTTTGTGTCATGTTCCCCAAAGCCAAACAGATTTGATATAAAAAGACTGCAGAGGTGTTTGCTTCAAAGAACAGGATCTTGCGTGGCAGTAAGTTGACTGTGTTTTCCCAGAAGTCTTGATATATACCGGCTCTAATAATTAAATTAAGGCTCTCTAGTTGACTTCTAAATATTTTGATGAGCTTTTCAAATGAGTAGACGTTGTCTCTGACATTTTCTAGAGATAATTGATTGTCCGCCATATATGCAATTTTAGTATTCAGAAATTTCCCGAACATTTGGAGTTCAGTGTTGAACGAGTGCGGCATTTCAAAGTGTGAGAAATCAACGCTTTTCTCTGTAAGTTCACTTGCAAGTTGATTTCCATTACGACGCAATAACATTTTGTAAAGTAACACTAAGTAAGTGCTTCTTTGTGTCTCTTTAAGCTTTTTGTGACTTAACTTAATGATGGAGTCCATGATGGAAATTGACTTCTCAGTGTTATCCAACACGGGAAGAAGTGTTGTGATATCACTGTTTGAACTTTTCACAAGCTTCTCTAACTCTGTGTATTGTCTTCTGAGGAAGAACGGCATGACTGAATTCTTCGATATGTCACCCTTTTGTATTTTGTTTCTTTACTTCACATTTTTAGACTGTGACGGTGAACTAATGGGCGTCTTATTTAAAACTATTTGTCATTAAATTTTAATTTACTCTTTATGATGTAAAATAAAACGGAAGTTTAATGGAATTGTCAACTTGTCATAAAACAACACAGAAGTGCGTTATTTTACTCAAGTGTGTTAATAAGCAATATTTGCAGTTAATAAATATTTGTTTAGAAGAATTCCCTTCTCTTTTACTTACTACTAAAGGAATTAATAATAATGAAGGATAGGCTTTTTCATTGAGAAAAGAGAAGTATATTTGAGCAGTGAAAAGAAGTGTTTTCTAAAGAAAACATATTTGGAGCCAGAAAAGGTCTTTGTTTTGTTACTTCAATAAAAACTGTCATCCATTAACATTATTAGACTGGAATTATCAAAAAAACATCTATTTTTAATTTGGACTTAATTTAGTCGGCAAAAAATACGTTTTTTAGTTGCCAAAAATCTTATGTGTCCATTACTACTGTCTTAATAGTGACAAAACAAAATGACAAACGCCTTTTTAAATATATGGATTTAAATCGATAATAATTACAATATTTTTTTTTATTTGGCTTTTGTTGTCTTTTATCATTTCTACATCAGTAAACCTATATATGTATTATATTTTTTATAAAAAACTAGTATTATAACTAGATGTGGTGTTATTATTTCAAGTTTGTCCATCATTATTTAAGTCTGATCTTATTATAAGATGTATAATTATTTCTTACATACTTTTCTTGATTATAATCTGCTGAATGAAAATAAATAACCGGGCTATTCCGGGTAATCACCTTAGAATATTCAACCAGTCTTCCGACAAGCATAAATAGAATTAAAAATTGGAACACTTTTCAACGGTTTTGACACTTTTTTCTTTACAAAAGATTCTTTATCCCAAAACATCAGCTAAATAAAAAACTCTTGTTTTAAAAATTCATTTTAATTATTTTACTTACTAAAATAAATTAGAAAGTAAAGAAACTTTTCAACAAGTAAAATAGTAATTAGTATAATAAAATAATAATAACAGTATAATTAAATTAATTAATTAAAAAAATTAAAAAAATTATTGGATTAAAAAAAAATAATTTAAATTATTACATTTTTTTAAATGTTATAATTTTAATATTATTTATGTTAAAATTAATTTTGAAATTATAAAAAAATTACATAAAAAAATAATTACACTTGTTATAAAATTTATAACCTTTTTTGAATTGAAAACATGTTTTAATTTCGTGTTATTGGACTGCATTTAAAGAAAATACCTAAAACATCAATAAGATATTTGGACCAAAAACCTTTTAAACAATGTTTTAAATTCACGTTTTTGAAAGAATATTTCGTTAAAACACAATGATGAATTTATGTTGTTTAAATTTAAAAATTCATTTTTATACACTTTTTATTTAAAGTAGCTAAATTGAGTTGTTATATAAATCAATTTGCTAATACTTTGAAGTTTGACATTGTTTTACCTTTATTATACAACAATAAAAACAACTCTTTTATGTTGTTTTATTTAAAACTCTCATTGTTTGCAAAATTGAATATGCATTCGATTGTCATTTATTATGCTTAACAGAGTTAGACATTTTTTTGTTGTTTGGCAAAATAAAAAACATAAGGAGGGAAATACGTGGCGTAGCCGTACAGAAGTTATTAACAATTGTATTTTTAATTATTAATATACCATATTATATTCTCCATCTAAAAATATATTTTATTTTTTATGTAAAAATGTATTATATTATATTTATTATTTTATAAGTATTATGATAATATTATAACTCAAAAATTAACCATATAATAACAATCAAATATAGTACAGAAAAAAAGTGATAATTCAATAGTAATAAATAAATTAAAGTAAATTTCCCGAAATATTATATCAAACAAATGCAAAAAAACAAAAAACACAAGACCCGATTTGTTTTATAAAGCCATTAATAGTTTAATGGCTTTTAACAAAAAAACAGAAAAGGTAAAAACATTGTATTAAAATTGAATTCGGTTTATACAAATAAAAATAAAATACAATTTCCAAAAATAAAAATACCAGCCATACAATCAATTTTTATCGGGCATGCTTAAATCGACGCATGCTATTACGTTGTGCACATTTTAAGTTACTTTTGATTACTTCCTGTATTTTTATATCACATTGTTGACACTTAAAATGTGGAGCTTCTGTAGCAAGAAATTGTTTTCGTATTTACCAGTCCCATGATTTCTTGATCATAAAATAAACCGTAATGATATTTTCATTAAAATTACTTTGTTATATGACACTTGACACTTCATCATTTCGTTGTTATCGCCCGATGTTATTTCACATATTTAACCAACCATGTAGACTAGCTGATTCGAAAAAGAATATTTTAACGTGAATCACTATGACTTGAAAATAGAGTTTTTAATGAAAACAAACCATAATCGAACCATAAAATATTAAATATTTTTTGTGTTTTTGGTTGTTGAAAATGATTATTTATTCGTAAATGTGAATATAAACATGTGGTTAAGTACGTGGCAGAGTCAGAACTCAACAGGCAAAACAAAAACTGGCCAATAAATTCAATGTTTATTTCATATTTAAAGTTACATTTTAATGAAAAATGTTAAATCTAAAACAAGACATAGTAACATGTCAATGAAAAACGGGAAATTAGAAGATAGGAAATGGTTGTGGTATAATGTGGTTAATAAAAGACGTGTATTCAAATTGTTTTATTATAAAAAACGTATCTATTATATTATATAATTTATATAATCATTTTTAATATAGATCGATATTTACAAAAAGAAAATCAATTTTAATATAAAATATACATATAAAACCATAGCATCAATCATTACTGTTCATTGTGTATTTAAAGATCACGTTGCATACACAACTTAGTATGTTAACTTTGGTATTGGAAAAAATACATTGTATGTATGTATAAATTGGTATATTTGTGTATATTGATCACTTTTTGGTTTAATTTCATTAAATATTTAAATTACTTCTTTGTTATATATATACAACAATATACAAATATTTTGTTAATAACTGCTATCAGTTAAGTGTTAATAATTTATTAAAGCATTGGAATAAATTTTTTATAAAGGTATAAAGTTTATACATGTAATAAACTTAGAGCAATGATTTTCTGAAACATAAATAACATGCTCAAAAAACAATAATACAAATAATAAATCGCACAATTTATTTCTGTTGATTATTGATTAAATTTAATTTGGTTATTCGAGTTAAGTTTGATAAAGTTCTCAAATTTAAAATGTAATTTTGTTTATTTTAAAAGTATCATTTTTATTTTATATAAATTGTTTTATATAAACATAAGTATATATCCACAATTGAATAAAACGACAAAAGTGTGTTAAAGGTTTAATATATACAACATCCACGTCATTTTTATTGTATATAATTATTGAAAACAACTGAAATAATAAGATTATTGTTAAACAGTTTTTTGAATGTATTGTTTAAATGTATCTTGTTTTGATATTTATTTTAACAATTTGTCAATTACTTTTAATTGATCAATATTAGTTTTACTAAAATGGAGTTGTTGCCATCTATTGCTAAATTTATTTATGTCGTTTACTTTGTACAAACAATCAAATTTAAAACGTGTTGTTGCAGCAGATGAAACTTAAATTGTGTTAAGTTTGTATTTTTGTATTTGTCAAATCCAAATGTACTTGCTGTTTTTGACAATTTGAAGATTCTGAAAACAATTATAAAAACAAATGTGCTTACATTATTTGTTGTCTAGTTACAACTAATTAATACAAACAAAAACATGTTGTTGATATAACACAAATAAATATCACTATTGTATTGTTCATTGTATTCAAAATCTAACGATCATTTTTTGCAAGTGAAAATTTTGATTTTATTGTTGTATATACACGAATTATTTACTTGTAGTTGCTTAACTTGAATACACTGTATTACAAATAAATCAGATTATGTCAAATGTCAACAAGAATGAACTATCTATTATTATTATTATTATTATTATTATTATTATTATTATTATTATTATTATTATTATTATTATTATTATTATTATTATTATTATTATTATTATTATTATTATTATTACATATGATATTTATATTATCTTTTATTATTATAAAAACACACAAGAATGTATTTTTTTTATTTCAGTTTCAACAAAAGTTTATTTAAATATTTTTGATCAACACAATAGCAAGTTTTTATTTATAATTATTTTACTGTCTGAAAATTATTTTTATTATATTATATTTTTATTAAAATAAATGATGTTGTAATTTTTATTAAATATGTAAATAAAAACTATAACAAAATATATCATCAATTGTTAATAGTTATTTTGTATTTGGTTAAAATTAAAAACTGAAACTATAACAATCTAAATTTATAAACAGTTTTCAATTATAAAAAATATTAAGTGAAATAAATTCACAATTCACTTTCTGTAAGTTGTTGACATTGAACTGAAGGCACAAATCGATCTCTCGAAGTGTTTCTGTTTAAGAAAGACAATCTTTCTTTTGTCTCGACTCTGATTTCTCTCGAATAATTTTTACGATTTGGTCTTGATGCTTTTTTAATTAGAGAAAACGATCGTTCGACTGAACATGTTGTTACGGCTATCAAATTAAGCTCCATACAGCAACCAATAAAACGTTGAAACTCGACTCTTGATTCCATTAAATTCAAAACATTTGGTGCTGTAAAATAATTTTCAGAACATTGTTCCAAAAATATATTTATATTTTTGTCTTTTTCATTCCGATAAAATTTTCTTTGTTTGAAAATTTGAATTTTTTTGCTTTCTAAACTTCCTTCTGTCGCCGAAGAACCGTCATCTGATCCTGGTAAGTCAGAGCTGAAATGTCCAGTTGGAAAAGCCGTGTCTATTATATCTTTTTGATCCTTTGTGCATCTGATTTCAGGCGATTTATAAATTAAATCCATTTTGGCTTTAATTTTATCAACAGAGTTTATATTATCATGACACCACTTCATTATCAATTCTGCTTCATCTGCAAAATCGTCGTACTCATCAAGACGTGGTATGTCCATTTCGAGCATGTACATTTTCATTTTCATTAACAATTGTGGGTCCGCCAGTCTCTGTTGAAGATCAACAAAATCTTGGTAAGTGTCTATCTCTAGTTCATATTCTTTAAGATGGTACTCTTCGAATATTTCAAAACATGTTGATTTACGTAACGGATTTGCGAATCTCACAACCAACGCTTGAATGAGCCTCACAACAAAATCGTGACAAATACCTCTAAGTACTTCAATGTTGTCACTGTTATTTTCTCTGATAAATAACATGGTTCCGAAAAAACTGTCGTTTTTGTCATCCAATTTTGTTTTTATATTTATATAATATTTTATTGTATCACAAATTCTCTGATACGCCACTGGAAATTTTACATCTCTTCCTTGAAGCCATTGACTTACAATTTTAAGTGGCGCGAACAGGTAATCAATAAAATACAGACGCTCCGACGAATAAAGAGTCATCTAACGAAACGCGTCCAAACTTATTTTCAAATACGTTTTGAGGTACAAAATTGAAATTTTCTTTATTCAAAAAAAGTTGATAATTTTCAAAATTTTCAAAAATAGCTGAAGTCACAAATGAAGTGAAAAGAAACCGTGTTGTACTTGTACTAGGAATTTCGGTGGCACACATTTCAGTCTTGGTTTGTTTATTGAAAGCGATCCAAGCATTTCTGAATTTAGAATTTGTTATTTCATTCAGGAATTGATTTATTACACTTCCTTCGTTAACTTCAACAACCTTTTCACATGCCTTCGACAGTCTATGATCAAAACAATAATTACGTTTAAAGCGCTTTCGATGTTCAATTGGAACAAGACTTTTTAATAACACGCCGATCGTTGTGTTACATGTGGTACCATCAAGTGAAATTCCTTTGAGTTGTTGTAAACTGAGTTTTGCATGATACAGTACACGAAGAATCCACTCAACCCTCGAGTGTGCATCACCTTCGCCGTAATAGTTACCAATTTTAATCTTTACTTCAGTTGTTGTGCAAAAGTCAAAACTAAAACGTGCATATAGTGAATAGTGAGTCTCTCCATCGTAAGTTTGTGAATCGGCGATTAAATGAAAGGGTGTTTTCAGTTGACCCAAATTTTGCAGACGTCTTTTGTCAACTTTATGTATAAGTTTCATGCGCCTTTCAATAGTTTTTGTGGAAACATTCAATTCAATTGAAGTTCCAAGTGTTATAATTTTAATCACTTCTAATATTTTGGTTATTTCATTAGAAGAAAAATCTTCGAGTGAAAAAATTAATGCCATTAATACAATTAAAAAACCCTTTTTTTCTTTTTTTGCGAGTTCCGTTTTGCTGTTTCCAACGCGTCTTTCAACTTCTTCTTCTATTGCTTTGGTGAGAATTGTTGACATGTGTAAATAGGCGTTTTCAGTGTTTTCGAGAGTGTCCATTATAAAATTAAGTCGTTCAATATTGACAAGTTCATTTTTCAATTGAAGGTCACTTTTTATACAATTTTCGTCTTCACTATCGATATCGTCGAGCCAATATTCATTTTCATCTGCAACCTCGATATTTTCCGGGAGGTTTTTTTGATGCGTGTGACTTAATAAGCGAAGAAGACAACTGTTGCCATATCCCGGATGCTTGACTCATTATTTCATGGACTCGTGTGTCTTCTATTTCGTTACATTCATTGCATTCACTTCCTTCATATTCTTCATTTTCATGAGCTTCATCTTCGCCTCCACTGTGCTCAGTTTCCAGGCTGCCATCAATTGGATCGTTTCCATAAACAAGGTCATAATGACCCATGATATCACCAAAAGTGGTCTGTTTCTTATCTAAGTTTGTTTCAAGATCAAATGGTGTTTGATCAACAACACCTATTGGTGTTTGTGTTGTGTCTATCATAGGGGGCGTAGCAGTGTTGGGTTGTGCTGTTCTATCTGGATAAGATGAATCGTTGTGCTCATCATTGATACCATTATCGTTGTAAGTGTTTATCATGATGTTTGGATTTTGTTCACAGATTTGTTGTGAAACAAAGTGTGGCTCATTTATTGCAGGTTGTTGAATTGTTAATTCAATGGATATTGCTTGAAGAGCAATATTAACATCTTCAATCATTTTATTTATATTTGATGTGTTTCCTCCAGTATTGATCAATGCATCTTTGATTCTCATCATTTGAAACTTTGACGCGTTTTTTATTTTCTCATAATTTGAATTTATTAACGAGTTAAGCGACAAATAATTTAGTATATTAAAGTTGTTAAATGCGACAGTTTGGAGCCTATCCTTTATTGCACAAAAGATGTTCACGTCTTTGTGGAGATGATTTTTGTAATGCTCTTTAAGAGCATCTCGCGGAAATTTCGAACAAAAAACACAATAATTCAAGCCTTTAACAAACCCATCGGGTTCATCTAAAATAAAAGGCTGGAACTCCAGAGTATTACCAAAAGAAATACATCTTCTTGATACTCTTTTTTCTTTTGAGAGTCGTGGTTTAGGCATTTAATTGTTATTTTGAGTTTGTGGTAAATTACCCTTAAAACAAACCCAGCTTGAAACTCTTATTTTATATGTTATTTTATTAATATAATTCTATTCATTTTTTAATTATCTTTTCGCCAAAAAGTACCATAGAGAAAGAATCATTCGTGCCTTAATAGTTAATAATTTAAATAAAAAAATATGTTTGTTTTAATATTCATATTAAATTTTAAACTATATTTCTAACACAAAATATTTTGAAATTATAACAACATTTTCAGCTTTTTTATATTCATAGACTCGTACAATATAAATGTTTTTTGTGTGTAATTAAAGCTTGTCTCTGGTGTACATTATAACATTGGAACTGTTTGGTTTTGTTAATTCATTTACATATAATTGTATTGCATAGACCACACATCTCAAGCTCATTTTCGTCACACTTCCCAATAACAACTGAATATACTGCGTTTAATGATTGGTCGAAAATATGCCGGCTGATTGTTACATCGGAAGTTTATTCTTGATATCTTAAATCAAGTGTTGTAAAATTTGATCTTGTTTTTTGAAAGTCTTCAAAGATGTTTTGTTGCCATTTTATATAAGTTGTAATATCCTGATGTCATTTCGGCTTCATGACTGTTGTCAGTCTACAACCAATGTACTTTATTGATTTTCCCTGCAAGTGCCAAATTGTTATTAAAGACTCTTTTCACTACAGACAACACTTAGTTAGTATGGCTCAATAACAGGTCAAAGTACCATTGTTGAAACAACCTTTCATATTCGCTCTAGTAGTTGTCGTTTCCATTATTATATATATCAGTTGATGTTGGTGAATTGTATCGACCAGCGTTAGTTGGTTTGTGCCCACTTGTACTCAACCAATACTATTAATTGTTTTATCAAAATTCTTTAGTGACTTGCTGTTTCTACACTGGAAAAGTCTAATATGACAACCCAAGTTATTTGGTGTGCATTATGAGTGTCTCGTCTAACCACATATTTTATACCACAACTTAAATTTGGTTAAATGTTTTATTGTTGATGCTGTTCATAAATGGAAGTTTTGCATTTATGAAACCATGAACTCCTTGTAGATTTCATTTGGGGTTCTTTATTTTGAAGATGCCTTGGTCATCATTAGTTATTAAAATATACTCTTCGTGGTGTTGTTTTCAATGTCTTTAAAGAACGTGTTATTGAAAACGCCGGTGTTTTTCACCCACTTCTAAATCTCAATTGTCATAGTTTAAGACTTTATCACCACTTTAAATAACGACATCACTATTTAGCCTTCTTAATTATGGATAAGAATGTTTTACAATACTAATAACAAGTATTCAAGTAATTAGTATTCGGAGAAGTTTCAACAAGTCCCACCCAAACAACACTGTAATTGACACCCAATAAATTTCTTCATACTTAACCACCACTTAACCATGTACAGTATCAAGTTGTATCGTATGCCGTTTTCAATTTCATACCACGAGAAAAACATTAAAAACGACCTAATATAATAATAATAATTGTTAATAATCTTATAATATGTTTTCAAAACATCGTCAACTTAAACAATAAAACTTGTTGCTAATGGTAAATTGTAAAGAGTTTAGTCAACACAATATATGAAATTCGATGTGCATAATAATGATATGTATGTTGGCTGTTTATATTTTATTAAATAAAATTATTTTGTGTTTTTTGGTAACTGTCTTTAATTTAAAACTTAAAAACTGTTTTTTCTTTTATAAATGTTTTTGCTTTAAAAATGTTTTTTAAAAAAATTTACGTTTTTTTAAATATACTTTCACTTATTCAAAAAAGGGAAAATGTGCATTGTAATACACACGAAAAACCCCGATAAACAAACAAATTTTTGAGTAATGTAATTGTATATTGCTTTCCGATTTTAAGTCTCATTTATTAGCAATTCACAATTGGAGTTAAAATATAAAAAAGACATAATTATCGTCAAGTTGTATCACATATAAACAATGTCTCTTTATAAACAAACTGGAGAATAGTCGCTTTGAAAATCTACGTTCGACTCGTCGTTGTTTTTTTTTTCAATTTCTGACACATATACGCCATCGGCTAAATTTTTTTCTTATCTATAGTCGTATAAAAGTAATGCAAACTTTGTCATGATAACGTAAAAAATATCTCTCACAAAGAACGCTTTTTTGCGAACACATACAAGTACAAAAAAAGAGTTAAACAAATTGTGTTTGTTTCATCCTCTTTTTCTCTTTGAATTCTTGAATCGACTTCTGCTGTAATTTGTGTGATGAATTCGCCGTCCAATTTCACCGCGACCCTCAAAAATACAACGCAACATAGTTTTTTTTACATCCTCATTCTGCGAGTCCACTAAGGGCAAAAATATTTCCAAGCAAAGCAATAACGCTTTTTCCCATTGACTGTCAAAAATATAATTTTTTAATCAGTTTCTTATTATTAGTTTGATTTTTAGTTTGAAAACTAATAGATACCATTTTAATTATTTAACAAATGAAAAAATTCAACAAAGTACGTGTTATAAATACTCAACAACACCATAACATGCTATCCATACATGGGTGGAATGTTGATTTTTAACTCAAGTTTACATGGTTTTAAAATTTGATATTTTTCATTTACTGTTCTTACTACAAATTGCAATGTAATTGACTGATTTTGGTGAAACACATTGAGTTTAATAAGTGGTGTTAACAAGTCTGTTTAATGATTTGGAAAATAAAATAAAACAATAACGGTTTAATAAGACGTTGTGAATCAACGACAAATCATTTAAACGCATAAAAGCTTTGTTTTTATTTTTAATTTTTTTGCACTTGGTAAATAATTGATTATTTTTATGATGATTTAATAATATAGTTTGTTTTAATATTTTTTTAATATTAAAAAATAAGTAGTCAATTCCCGAAATATTAAAAGAGTATTTGGAACACACTTTAAATAGGAAGTGTTTTTCAGGTGTTAATTGTGAATTTGGTTAATCAAAAAAGTAGGCAACACAACTTCTCGAATATGAGATCAAACATGTTTAAGGATCTTGGTAATTGGATGCCAAAATCAAGCTACTTTATTTTTTATATAAATTTACAAACCAAACTAGAAAAAAAAAATGAACTAGAATATACAAGACATAACCCAAATTTTTTAACAATTTTTTTTATTTAATCAAAAACATTTGAACCCGAACAATTTTTATTTTTAAAATAACAAATTGTATTTATTTAAATAAAACGTAGTTAAAATATCAACATTTTTAATAATTACATTTTTATTTATACATTACTGGTTTTTAATAAAAACCTTTTTATACATGGCGTATTGAATTGTTATTTACCATCATACAATTAACATGGTTTAAACAATGATAATCAATTGTATATTATAAGTTACAACCATTTAAAATCAAATGTTGGCATGTAAAATATTATATTTATTCAAATCATTAATGTTTAAAAAATCCATTTCTAATGTTATCAATTCGTTTTTGTTTGTATTTTTAACTATTTGGTATTATGTATTAATTTGAATTGTTTATTTTAATAATTATATAATTATATTAATTGTTCTTGAATATTTATGTTTGGAAATGTTAATATTGCCGATCGATATAACGTTAACAATTCTTATTTTTTCAATGTTTTTAAATTTGTTTAATAAATAATAGTTGTGTAAATTGACAAAATTACCCATTTTTGCTACATTTAAAATTGTTTAATATTTTTATAACTTATTTTTTAATGTTCATTTTATTATTTAATTAACGTTATGATTTTGCATTAATAATTTTAGATATTTCTGTATTTTTATCATGTTTTTTTAGTTCTTTATAATGCACAATTTGGGATAAATGTATTTAAATCATGAACAATCAATGTAAAAAAGGTGCAAGTTCTGAACCCGAACAAGTTTCTTTGGTACATTTATTCAAATGATATATATTTGCCTGATTTTCCCGTTTATTGTTGTTGTATTTATACAACATATTTGAAATAAAAACAGAAAAATAATAATAAATTTGAAAACTCATTCAACGTGCAAATGATTTTTTATTTACCAATTTCTTTGGCAAACACGTATTTATTGTGACTTTAAGTTAACAATCAATGTTAAAATATATATCGGAACAGCAAAAAACCAAATTTAAAAATTTGCGTTAAAAACACGTGGTTTTAAAAATAAAATGATTTTTGTTGTAAAAAATAAATAAAACAAAATTTGAATTGTTTAACCAAAAATATTGAGCACAGTCTATTTATTTGTAATGTTTTACAAAACTGTACTATATTTTTAAAAATGTATTAATTAAAACTATATTTTTCTTATTACAAATTATATTAAAGATAATAACTTATTTTTTAAAATTAAATAGTATAAAAATTAAATAAATAAACATGTTTTGAAAATGATTATAATCAATCCGATACGGTTTATACGACATAAAAACGTTTTAATTTGGTCTTTTAACAAGATTTCATCTTTGAGAGCCGTCTTAAAACTCTTGTGATGCTTTGATTCTACAGTTGATTATTTGAAAAAAAATATAATAAAAAAATAATAAAATTACGATGTTTTACCCGAATATTTGAATTAAATAATCGCATTTATTAACAAAAAGATATAAAAATATCAACCATTATTGTATAGTTTTCTTTTAAACTATAAATCCCGTTAATTGAGGTAATATAAATGTAAAATTTTTGTCAATTGTAATATGAACTTTTTGGACAACAAATTAAATTGATTTTTTTGAAAACTTTTTTTTGAGTGAAAAAAAGCCATTATTAGAGTAAAAACAAAGAAAACACCAAAAAACAATATTTTTTGTTAAAAAGTGGACTTTTTTGCCAACAACCACAAAATTTACTATATAAATGTCTAACCCTGTGCTTAATTAAAAAAAGTTAAGACAGTCTTTGCTATCTAAACAGTCAAATATAATTATGTTAATAATGATTTTTATAAATATTTATATATCGGTTTGAACAAACATAAGGTTTATTTTTATAAATTATTATTGATAAATATTTAATTCCAAATATTATAGAAAATAATTATTAAATGGTATTTATATGAAATAACTTCATTATTTTTTTGATTATTATATATTTGAACTACATACTTAAAATGGATAAACTAAGTAATTCAAATCGTTCATACACCAAGTCATTGATTTGAAGTCAATTTTAATTATGATCCAATTTCTAACAAATTAATAGTTTGAGTTATATTATGTCCTCTTTTCCTTTTCATCTTTATATGATTTGACTTTTAATTCTCATTTATGTCAACATTGTCAGGATTTCATTTGATGATTGTATCAAAATACTTCTCCACTTTCAGAGACTTTTTAAATGTTGAGATAGTCTGCAAAAAGTTTAGGGGGAACACAGAAAAATTCCACTTTAATCCGATACCCTTGACATTGGAATCTATTGATGAATTTCCCAATCTTGAGACTTTGGTGTTATATTCAGAAAACGACCCCATATTTACGAAACGAAGAATATTTAAAACAATTTTATCTTCAAAGACTTCTTATGGAAACTACCTTAATTATAAAGAATTTGGTGTTCAATGTAACAAAGTCGAATTGGATAAAATACAAATAACACAATTTGATCAAATTGATTCTGAAAAAGTTACCCATTTAGCTTGCGAATGTTACAGTCGCTCATCTACATTAAAGCATGTAATTTTACCACCAAAACTTGAAGAAGTTGGATATGGTTGTTTTAAAGGGTGTAAATGTCTTGAAACAATTCAATTTCCAACTACTGTTCTTTCAATTGGATGTGTCTGTTTTGACTATTGTGGAATGCTTTCCTCAGTAACATTACCATTGTTAATTAAAGAGATAAAGGAGTGGACTTTCAATCACTGTTTTTCTCTGAAAAAGATTAACATTCCACAAAGTGTCACTTCAATTAAGTATGGGGCATTCAGTGACTGCACTTCTTTGTCTTTTTTAACAATTCACAACAAAATCAAGGAATTTGGACTCGAGTGCTTCAAAAATTGTTTCTCTATGAAAGAGATCAAAATAAAAAATTCAAATTATTGTGTTCAATGCGGTCTTCGTCTCGTTTACAACTCTTCAAATAAACTCGTCTCATTTCAACTACCACACAAAAACGTATTTGTGAATGATTTTCCATTCATTTTGCTTAAAGACTGTTCAACGAAATACACAATCCCATTTGGAATTAAGTCAATAAGAAAATATTGTTTCTACAAGACTCCACTCGAGAAAGTAAAATTTACAACAACATTGAAAAAAATTTGCCAGAGTTCTTTTGAAAAATGCAACAATTTATTTTCTGTCGACCTACCAACATCTATTATTCGTCTTGAAAAAAATTCTTTTGACTCTTCATGTTCTTTGAGAACAATCAACATTCCACAAACACTCAAAAATATCGAGCCAAGAACCTTTAATTCGTGTTCGAATTTGATTGATGTCCAACTTTACCATTCCACTAATTATGAAAAGTATGTACCTTATAAATATCCACCAATTTCGATACCAGAATCCACTGTGTTTAAAAAGTAATTTATGTTTATTAAGACTGATTTGTTACCAAATTGTTTAAAACATACCTTTTTGTTCTAAAAATAGAATTAAAAATACAAATAAATTACATGATGCGTCTTAAAGTGATATATACATCTTTTAAAATTCAAATTTTTGGAATATGGATAATGAAACGTGTCTCGTAACCAAGAACCATCATGGAATGCGTCAAAACAACTAAATGTTTTGATTGATGCGTAATTCCTTTAACCAATTCCGTTCATTCTTTAGTTAATGAAGAAAAGCAACAAAACTAAGAGAAACTCTGAAATCGGGTGACTGTCATATTATTTTAAGAAATCGGAAAATTGAAAAGAACCCACAAACGATCATACAAAAGTTATAATTGGTGGTGATTTGATGGGAGTTGTTGGTGACATGTTGACTTGGTGTACTTCCAATGTACTATTGTATTCCACCATTCTATTTGTGAGTCACTTATAAATTCTAAATCCCATTTAATCTATTAAACCCATCTTCAAATATTCATCTTATTTATACCACATTTTCAATTGAATTTTTATCGGAATCCACTTTGTATAAGAACAACTCTTTTTATTTATAAAAATAGAATGAATTCCGTTAAAATTACTGGTAATTGTTATAGTAAACTATTATTACTTCTTTATAATTTCTTATAACAAAAACAACAAACTGCCAAGGCAACAAGGGAGTTGGTTCAGACTTAAAAAAGTTCATACCAAGCACTTGTTCTGCGGTAGCTCTTGCTTTTCTGTCCACTGTAATCAATTTCGACAACATTTCCTCTTGGTCCATCGAGCATTTCCATCTTTCCAAAAACTCAACTAATCTACAAGGAAAGGGTTTGTTTGGTCTATACTCCTCCCACCTTCTAAATTGTCTTGCGTCACTTTCATCCGGTGAACCACAGACTCCATAGATCATTGTTAATATTTCCAACTCGGAACTTCCAGTGAATGGGGGTCGCTTAAACAAACACTCGAATATGATACACCCAACACTCCACATATCTATTTCAGTTCCATAGAACCCATTTCCTAATATCAATTCTGGTGGTCTATAATTCAACGTTATCACGTTGTTGTTACACTCACTTTTACTTGCCCGTCGCGCAAGTCCGAAATCTGCTATCTTCAAGTATCCTTTGTTATTGATCAGTAAATTACTAGCTTTCTTTTTAGTTTGTTTTTAATTTATTTATAATTACTGGTACCTATTCTCTCTGGTGTAGAAATGTAAGACAAACGCTTCAAATCTCTATGAACAATCCCAGTCTTATGGAGATAATTAATCCCGACTAAAAACTGGAAGAGATACCCCTTGATCTGTGCAAAAGATATTGTTGTCGAAACTACGGGCGAATATAAAAGACTTTGAAGGTCATGTGGCATATACTCAAAGACAAGAAAAAGAGCGCCAGTGCCATCAATGTACTTTTCAGACGTTACAACGTCGAGTAATTTGATAACATTTGGGTGGTTAAGCTGTTGGAGAAACCGGATTTCTCGCGCAGTTGTTTGTGGGAAGCCATTCGAGTTTTCAAATTCCTTCATTTCTTTCAGAGCAACTGGTGTGCCTGTTGGAATTGTTGTGCTGTAGTACACCACTGAGTATGTACCACGACCCAGCTCTTGGTGGATTTGATATTTGTTCACAACACGTATCATCTATTTGTAAATTTTGTTTTGGGTTTTATGGGTTGGATTTTTTTGAGGAAAAAAATCAGTTTTTTTAGGGTTGATTCATTGTGGAAATTTTTTCAAATGCCATTTTGAATGATGACTTGGATGAATTCGTGATTTAATTTTATTGAACACTCATCGCTAAAAATCTAGTGAAGAGCAGTCTCAATGTCATACTTATCATTTTATCATAATGAAATATTGAATAAGAGTCTCTATTCTTCTGTTAAATAACAGTCTATCTATTTTTATTCCATTTTAATATTTAACAATTTAACTATAATAATAAACTAGTAAAACCTATTTTTCAAAAATAATTAGTTTTTATTAATAATTAAACAAATCAATTGTTATAATAATTTTTTGATGAAAAAACTTATAATTCAGTATTTCGAGTTTTTACCAAATTCTTAATTTTTAGATAAGATTATTCTTCTACTTCCATCCCAAAAGTTCCGAACAAAAAAGAAATTGTCGAACCAAATCAAAAGACAATTATTATAAATATAACAATTTTTATTACAAAATATAGTTTATTCATTTTTTTTTAATTAAACAAACTATACAATTAACTATATTTAAACCATATCATGAAACAATATTTTAACATTTATTTTTATCTTTGAAAAACTATAATTTGTTAGTTAAATAAATTAAAAGAATTGGTATAAATATTAAAAAAAAAAGAACTATTAAGAATGGTAAAAACAATTATTTGAAGTTATTAAAAGAGAGACAAGACAATTCATCTCGAAAAGCAGATGGACCGCAAGACATTAGCGAAATACATAGACCACACTCTTTTGAAGGCCGAAGCGACTGAGCCACAAATCAGAAAATTATGTGCTGAAGCTAAAGAGCACCAATTTGCTTCTGTATGTGTGAATCCATCATGGGTCTCTCTCTGCCACGAGTTGTTAAACAACAGTGGTGTGATGGTGTGCACTGTCATTGGATTCCCATTGGGGTCGACCCCAACCGAAGTGAAAGCTTTTGAGACAAAACAAGCTGTTGCCGAAGGAGCTGAAGAAGTTGACATGGTCATTAACATTGGATTAGTCAAGAGCCAGAAATATGATTTAGTCGAAAAGGATATTCGAGCTGTTGTAGAAGCTGCTGGAACCAAAGCCGCTACCAAAGTCATTATTGAGTGTTGTTACCTCACCGACGAAGAGAAGGTCGAAGTTTGTAAAAGAGTTGTTGCCGCTAAAGCCGCCTTTGTCAAGACATCGACTGGGTTTGGAACCCACGGCGCGAAGGTGGAAGACGTCGCATTGATGAGAAAGACTGTTGGCGATCAGGCAAAGGTTAAAGCTGCTGGTGGAATTAGAACTTACGACGACGCGATGGCAATGATTAAAGCTGGTGCTGATAGAATCGGGGCTTCTGCTGGTATTGCCATTTTGGATGGAATGCACTAAGTTTCACGAGTTTACATATGTTTAGTTTAATATAGTTTTAATTATCCAATAATTATAATAATAAAAAGTAATCTATTAATTTTACTAAATAATAGTTTATTTTTACTAAATAACATTTATGATCAGAGGTTTCCAAAATAATTATTGCCGAAAATGTGGTATTATAACGTACGAATTTATAGAGAAAATGAACATTTTGGTTATAAAATGGTGACGTGAATAATTAGGATTGTGATTTTGAAAACCTCTGTTTATGATTACAAGTTTCTCATATACTATTAACTAATAATAAATTAACTATAAATTAATAGAAGAGTAACACACTCTTTGTTAACATGCGAATAGAAGCAACTGACCTTTATCGGACTGTTTGATAATGTCTTAGATATTGTTTGAAACATTAGTATTGTCTAAAGTAATTGTGTTTTGTTTTTGAATTTCTTTGATTTTATTTTCTTTCTCATCATCACCTTTGTTTTGAAAAACTTTGAAGGATTCACTTTTGACTTCTTGCATTTCGATTATCACTTCTTTAAAATTTTCACTTCCGAATACTGTTGGCTCTTGATTTTCAACAAACTGAATGATTGGAATGTCATCGGCATCTTGTTCGAACCAGATCAAGAATTTATTAAAGGAGTTGTTTCTTGTCTGTGCAAGTTTGATGTAATTGTGATATAACGCAAATATGAAGAATGCAAACAGAAGTCCAATAAAAATATCGACCGAGTAATGCATCCGTGCAATTGCAAAAATACACCACCCACAAGCTACATACACACAAATAGCAACATTGAAACCAAAATAAAACAGTTTTGAAGTTTTCTTGTTATCAAAAAGTGGATATTTATCACTGTACGAAACCATGAAGAGTCCAGCAAGTGTTAATGAACTTGTGTGACCAGAAAATAATTTATCAACAGTACTCACATGTGTCCCAGCAGATATCAATACACTTTCAAACAGAGGATTTGTATTAACACTGGAGTCTCTATGAGCTGGATCATTCAATAATGTGAAGTACAAACAGACACTTCTAATTAGGAAGTTGATTCCCATTAAGAAGAAGTATCTTCTCAGAACAACAAGTCTTCCCCGAGTAAGTATGAATCGAATTGCAAACAACACAATGAAGAATCCAATGTACTTGTTGGCGAAGTCGCATAAATCGATATAACCAAATAGATCAAAGAGATAGTCGTCTAACACAAATTTGTGTAAAATGATCTCAGGGTGTTGTCTCTGGAATTGCCTTTGAAATTCTTGGGCGTATGTAATAGTAACACCATTTAAGAGTCCACCAAATACCATGAATAATATAGATAATACTAATGGATGAGTAAGTATAATAAATAATGTTTGTAAAGGTTTCTTATACAACGAAAAAAGTGCACTTTTTGCAAACAAGAAAGTGTTTTTAAATGGACTTAATAAGGTTTCAAAGATATGAAGGTTCTTTAAGTGACTTTTAAGTTTAAAAGACTTCTTTGGCTTCTGTTCAATTGTGTCGGAAATTGGGGTTTTAGTTGCTACAGTTGGAACTGCAGAGACTGGAAGTGTCATGTTGATTGAGTGAGTGGTATCCATTATATTATATTGATAAAAAGTACTGACTATTGTATTCCTTTTATTGAAAAAATGGGCAGGTTTCTTTTAAAGTGGATACTGTAAAGTTTAAAATATTCGATTTTACTCAGGCATTTTGAGCAAAAATGAATAACTCAATTGTCATTAATCTTGAAGGCATGGTTTCTTTTTTCTTCTTTTAAATACCTATAAATAACAATTTATTTTATTAAAATATCACTTTAAAAATATATAAATAGTTGGGTTTTATTGTTTTATTGTCTATTCAGCTTTAATGAAAAGACATTTTTGTTGTTTGAGTATCATCGATGGTGAAGAGATCCAATTGTATTTTTCATTCTTTTAGTACCTCGAACTCCACTTCATAATTACATTTTCATCTAATAGTTTATTATTAATATTTAATATCATAATTACTATTGCTTATTTCGCAAATATATCGAACAAGAAATAGTTATAAAATTTTAACCCCTTTATCTAAATTATTTGAATGAAAAGTAATTAATAGCTATTTATATTTATCATCTTTTCGCATTTTGTTTTCTCTTTTTTTTGGTTACAAATAAATCCAATTGAATTGCTAAAACCATTACTAATATTTGTTATATCTTTCTTAAATTTATTAAAAAAAAGTGGACAAATTCGCTCGAAAACAGCTTTTTGTTGTTGTTAAAAATAAAAATCAAGTTATTTTTATCAAAGGTATATTTTTTTTCGAATGATTGTCATTCAATATGAAACAAAAACAAAAAATGAATAGTAAATTGTATTATAAAATATACAAATTGTGTTAATACATAACAGATACTTGGATTAACGATCAAGATACTATTTTATAATCACTTAGAATTATGTATTTCCTTTCTATAGTCATGGTAAAAAAGGTTGTTGAGTAAAAATGGTTGTTGATTGAATAAAGGTCCGGTTTTTTGTATTTCAAGAAAAGTTACAAATTTCTTCGCATCATTGAAATAATATTGAAAATATGTTTTTGAGCAAATAAAACTATTTTTAACAAAGGAGTGTATTTTTAAAACGAATTGTTTTCTTCTCATTCTCAACATTTTTGTGTGTTGATTATATAAAATGTATAACATTCTCAATTTTGAATCGAAAATTGTTTTTTTGTAATTCGAAAAACAAGTATAGTTCAGTATAGTTAATATAGTTTCTGAAAAAATGAAAGTGCTTTTTTTCACCATGTTCGAAAAATAGAACACAAACAAGGATAATCATAAAAACGATAATTGACAGTATTACAATTAGTTGTCAATTTTATAACATTAAGAGCTGTTTATTGAACATTATAGATATTACATTATACATAATCATTGTTGTTTATCAAAAAAAGAAAATGAAAGTGCTTTTTTTCACCCCCTTTCATTTTTTGAGTAAAATAAGAAATGAAATTGAAAAATTATATTTTTGTTAAATATGAGTACTCCTCTTTATTACAAACGACATTTGTATTGGAAGCAAACTATACACAATCATGAGTATCAAAGTTATGGTCACACAATCGTTTTTTAAATTAATTTTCTTGATAACATGAAAAATAGAAAATAAAGAGTCAATTGTTACATAAAGAAACGGGAAATCACCCAAATTTTATAAATATATATTGCGATTAGATGTCAAATTGTTGGGGAATAATAAAGACAATTTTTCGAAACACTTCAAATTATAATTATTAATAAAATTAACCATTAATTATAATAAAAACGATAAATACAGCTGGTTTCAGAACTCAATAATCATGTCCAAACCACAGCGAAAACCCGCTTCAAAAAAAATTGGATTTGAGCGTGTTGCGCCACAGTACAAAATCGGGTCGTGGCTGTGATTTTTGGATTTCTGTGAAACCCATGCAACAGAAATCATGGAATGTCTAACACTCCAACAACAAATGAAATTGTTGAGAAGTGAAAAATGGCTTGAAAAGGTTTCAATTAAAACGAAAGCCAAAGTGTTGGGTGTCTCACCCTCGACGGCCCGCCTCAACAACTTGTATGACGATGTCTAAGGGAAGTCTGGAAGAAAACGAGAAATTAATCAATCGAGAATGCCGTTGTTGTTGGAAACAATTTGAGAAAGACAAAACACCACCAAACCAATCACCACCAAAAAGATGGGAAATGTTGCAGAAGGAGTTGTTGGGAAGAAAGTATCAAAAAGAACCATCGCAAACAGTTTGAGAAGGGAGGGTTTAATTAAGAAGATTGCAAAACCAATGGATAAAGAGAGAGCTGAGTAAGAATGAGTTAAGAAGCTATGAAACTAGAGCTGTTGATTTGTTGAACAATGACAAACAATATGCCGGCGAAAGAGGTGTCCACTTGAATGGAGTTAAACCCTCCCTCCTTATCAACATGGACGAAAGTGGTTATTGTCCATTTGTGGACTCAAAAAGGAGCAACTTTTATGTTGACGACAACTATGACTACACCAACTCTTACTCTGTTGATCGCTCTCAAAAACGCATAACACTGATTGCAGGAATATTTGCCAACAACACCACACTTAAACCAATGATCATACTATCAAAGTTGACAATGAAAAATGAAATCGACAGATACATAGACAGAGATGATGTTGAAATTGCATATCAACGCAAATCTTTTATTACTGAAGACATATACACGTTGTGGCTTGAAAGATGTCTTTAATCAGAACTGGAATTAAGAAGAAAATAATGCCCACAAGAATGGGCGGTTTTAATACAAGACAACTGTGTTAGCCATATTAAAGACGGTGCTAGAAAGTGGCTGTTCGAAAATAAAGTGGCTTTATTATTATTGTGCCCACACAGTAGCCACTTGTCTCAGCCACTGGACATCGTCATATTTGGCGTTCAAAAAGTTTGTTTTTATTATGAGAGAAATTAGTGAAATAATATTATTGTTCAAAGCCGTTATGAGTCTTGTTAACATGTTTACTTTTCTTTTATTGTTATTGACTGATAGAGAGCAATGGGTTCTTCGGTAGTTTCTCGACTTGTTGGTATGAAGTACCCCATTGGTGTTATGTCTCAAAAGGATGATGTTGAAGATGAAGTCAAGAAGGCTACAAAGCGAAGAAAAATGGAAATTTTAGAACTCAAGGATCAAGATGGTGCAATAGATGCTGCTAAGTTGGGAGAGTTGTCTGTTTGTATGGTCACAAAAAGAGTCGTTGAAATCATCCAATCGTTCAAAATTGCCTGCGTTAACAACAACACCTCAGCCTTTCACATGTGTGGTTACGTAAAAAAGCCAATTGGAAAAGAAAAAGAGGGTACTTATGATGTCAGAATTTTCTACTGTAGGGAGTATGCCTTCAGAATACGAGAGTTTTTGGGCGAACAGGTTTGCGTAGTTCCCGTTGCCTTTCCTGGAAGAAGAAGCAACTTAAACATTGATAAAAACGAAGGCACTTCAAAATGATTGAAAATTTGTGTTATGTTTGATTTATTTTTTGAATATTTCCTGATAATTTCAATGTAAGTTGGGCTGACCTGTAAGATTAATTAAAGTACACAAGTTCAAAAGGAATTCAAAATGAAATTTATTTTTATTATTCAATCATTGATAATATTATTTAAGTTTAAAATAATAAAAATATGGTTTTAAAAACTTCTTTTTAATACAATTGTCAAATTATGACATCTCGTAAACTTTAAGTTTTTACAGATCAACTCTGATTTTTACATATTTAACAGATCAATTAAACTGATATTTTTATTATTTACTCACGTTTAAGTAACAACTGCATTTTCCTTAATTATTATAACATCGACAATCTTTTTTTCACGACTGCTTATTATTGTTTGTTTTTTATTTCTCTTTATTCAATGTGTTTATCGATAGCTTTATTTGCTTTGGTTAAACCAATACTGGTTGTCAAAAAGGTGGAATTGTGGAGTTTGTTTACGTTTTGTTAATACAGAAAGTGTTGACCGTATAGGTTTAGCGTTTCTTTCGATGATTGGCTTTTTACTTGTTTAAAGCATAAAATACTCTTGCCATTGACTAGAGCATTCATCTAATTGAAACTTTTATCATCTTTTTGTTATTGTTTTTTGTTATTGTTTATAAATGAGAAGAAATCTTCTTTCCCTTCATTTTCTATTTATTTTTTCGTTTTGATTTGAATAATATGTTCTTTTTCGTTCTGTTTAAAGGGAAAACAACTTCAATTAAAGGTACACTACAAGTGTAACTTTTATTGAAATGTAAAAATAAACCGAACCTTTATTCAATCAACAACCATTTTTACTCAACAACCTTTTTTACCATGACTATAATTGAATTTATCAGGATTTCATGACTAAGAGCAGTCGTCTTTATCAACCATTTTTTTGCCCTCTTCCGAAACATCGTCAGATCTTTGTGCTTTTTTAAAACTTCCAGTTCAAAAGAAGCTCATTCAAAATAGTATCTAAATAAATAAAGGTAGAGTTGGAGGAAAAAAGTCCGGTTCGATAAGGAAAAAAAATAATTATAATAAAAAACTATTTTATTTTAGTCAAATAATGATGAGTGATATTTCTTTAAAATAGTATAATTTTAAAGTAATTATATTTAAGAAGAAGTTCTGCGTATATTCACATTTCATGAACAAGCCTGTAATTGTTTAAGGGATTCATGAGGATTGTTAATTTTTCTGAGGATGGTAAATATCTTAAACATAATTTCTTTCAATTTAGATTTTTTTGCCTAAGATCAAAAAGGTATATTTTGAAACACATGATTTTCTTTAAAAATGCTATTTATGGATTGTTTGAAAGATGATTCTTTCAGTTGATTTTTACAAAAAAAATAATCTACTTCTATTTTTTGATTTACCACAAGACTAACTTTGGTTTATATGAAAACATTTGACAGACATATAAATTATCGAAAAAGTCGATTTTTTAATCAAAATCACAAAACAAATTAATCGAACAATTTTTAATCTTTTTCACAAAAAATACAATTTATTATAAATCAATTCATGATATTTCAAACAATAAAAATTGATAGCAAATAACGTATTAATAACGTATACTCTATGCGATGACAATTTATGTATTTGCGCAAATTCAAAACGAGAGGTTTTGGATATCGATAAAACAACGATTGATAAATAAACAAATTTTTAAAATAAAATCATTTTTGTTATAAACTGTTTTATTTATTTTTTAAAACATATATACACAAGAAATATATGTTTATATTAATATTTTGCATTATACAATATTAATTCTCAATGAAAATGTGTTCAATTTATTAATCAATTTTATATATTATTTGGCGTTTTTGTTGTGTTTTGACGATTTTTGATATAATCAATTATCAAAACCCACTTTATAAAAATTCTTTGATAATTTTATTTATAGAATTTTAAATCAATAGTGGCAGTGCTATAAATATCTCTGAGGATGGTAAGTCGTGTAACAAACAGACATTATCAACACGGACTTAAACATCTAAAAAGTGAAATGACGTGTTCCCATGTTCAAAAATAGTAACTTACTCAATATACATTTCAGATAGATGTAAAAGTGTAAACTTTCTATTTCTGTCATCCTCAGAAAATAATTGCCATCCTCAGAACTGTAAATCTGTTTAAAACACAAGTTAATATCAAAATGAAACAATCATATTAAAATATACACAATATGATTAACTTTGTTATTACAATAAATTTGAATAATTGCATAAATTACAAAATTATTAATAAATTTGTTATTTTAAAATTACATTTTTTTGAAAATCAGTGTTTTCTACTTTTTCAATTTTCATTTTGATAAAAAAAACAATTATCAATTTAAACGTAAATTTCAATTATTATGTTATAAAGACGGATTCGAAAATAATTTCAATAAGTATATAATCATAATATGAACAAGTTTAATTCATGTTTTGTTATTTTCCGTCTCAAGTTCGCGAGATATAATTATTGTTTTTGTTTACTGATTATTGTGGCGATTTTTTGATTGTATTTAATCTTTTGGCATTTATGACAAATTATTACCATTATTTAAAATTGAACTTTGACTCGAAATATTAAGTGTCAATTATAACTTGAGTTATGAAAATGGGCTTTATGGGGAACTGAACATTATGGATTTGATTTTTGTATCCTCAGAAAAATATTTTTTAATAAGGATAGCTTTGATCCTGAAGATACACCTTATCCTCAAGAAACCCTTTAAAATACATTATTTTTTTATGTTGAAATTAATACCTAAAATCGAAAGTGTCAATATTTTAAAATTATTATTATCAATTAATTGAATGTATATCTTACTTAATGGTGTTATGTGATGTATACTAACAATTGTAATTTGGTCAAATGATTATTCAAAATGAAATAAACATAGACAATTATTTAATACGACTAAAAACTAAAAAAACAATTCATTGATGAGAAAAAAACTTTTAAATAATTTGAACAACCATGAACACCTAAGAATTCAATTATGACTTATCTTTCAGACAATTTCTTTTGAAATTATAATCCCGGGTTTGCATAGCTAAGAAGAGATTTGAACAACCATGAACATTATAATTACCCACAAATTACACAATAAGTAAATAGCTCAAATAAAGTTATTATAAAAGGTAAATATAATGTACAATTCACCAAAATATTCAATTTAAAACACAAAATAGTCTACACCTCTGTCAGTTGCTCTTTGCCTCGACGATTGTGTCCATCAACTTCTTGGCGTTCTCCTCGACGTACAAAATCGGGCTTTTCGAAAGTGAGAACAGATTGATAGAAATCTTTGCAATTTGTTCGTTCGTGTACTGCTTCATATCAAACCCGTTGAACAGCTGTGTCAAATTATCAACACCCGCTGCCTCAAACTTCTCCATTTTGTCCGTCGCATATTTTGCAAAACTCGACGTTTTAATAAACTCTTTATACACCATTTCTTTCCCACTCGGAAACTTGAGTCCTTTGATATACCTCCACACCTCTTCCTCGTTATATTCAATGCTGTTCCATTGGTCCTCAAGACTTTTCATTTTAGGTGCCTTCTTCAAGAAGAAGCCATCAAATATTGTCAAAAACTCGATCATGTTTCGGGAAAACTCCTTCATAACTTCCACACCAGCGGTCAAGTCGTTCATTTGTATCACCTTCAAAAACCGGTTATCGACGATGTGATGAATGCACTCCCCTCCGTTGATATCGAGCGTGTTGACCTTCTTCGCGTTTTTCTTGATAACATCTTTCACCATTTGATTTGTTGTCCCAACTAAAATTGCCTTATCCTTTTTAATAATGTCATCATTCATCGTAACGTAGGGCCGAATCTCGCCACAATATTCAAGTGGAGATATGATACTGCTCAAGTACTCGACAGCTTCTGTAACTTCAGTCACATCCTCCGAGTACATCACAATGGACTCTCCCATTAACAAAGAAGCCCACAAAGAACGCAGACTCGATAGGTGTTTTCTTAAAAACGACGGGAAGGTGTTCCACGATGTCACTGCAAGATCAAATCTCTTCGAATAAAATTTGAGTGAAAAATTTCCGTCTCTCTGATACTTTGGGAATGATGAAAATTTGAGGTACAGTGTTGTCACCAAAATTTGGTTGTCCATATCCTCTGCCAAAAATGTTGATTTCACGTTGTGTAAAATTGATTGATATGGTTTCGTTTCTTTGTTTTTGGTAAGTAAAATGAGTGACTTTTGTATTGATTTTCTCTTGTCGGTGTGTGGTATTTGGACGAAGAGGACGTGACAGAATATGTAATTTCGCGTCAATGGGAATCTGAAAGAATAAATTGAGCTTTTCGGTTCGAAAATTGGTTTTGCTGGATTGACTGTATCAGGCATTGACAAATAGACGCTACAAGTTATTTCAATAGACCTTTTAACTTCAATTAATTATATATTTGTATGTCAATATGTTATACCACTTTTGTAATAAAGTATTGTATAATATAATATAAAGAATTATATATAATATATTATTATATAATAACATACATCTGTTGTTTGAAGTAATCTCCAAACGAGTTTGAAACGCCCTGTGGAAATTCGTTTTGTATTTCTGAAAGTCAAAAGTTGTGTTTCCAATACGACAAAACAAACTGTTGCCGTAGCTTT